TCCTGGAACTCGTTCTGGGCCGCAACTATTTTCAATTCGGAGGAAAATTCTTCCGTCAGAAAATAGGATGTGCAATGGGATCTGTGGCTAGTCCAGAAATTTGCGACATTACGTTACATGATTTTGAGTACAAATCTCAGCCCTCACAGACAGAATCCTGTTCTGGGCAAGATTCAGAGATGATATACTTATCGTCTTCAATGGCCAACTCGAATCCTTCACCCAATTTGTTCACCAGTCGAATCAATTGCATCCCACCCTCAAATTCACATTTGAGGCATCCGAAACTTCCATCACATACCTGGACCTTACCATTTTTAAAGGCCCGCGTTTCTTATCCACCGGTACCCTGGACACACGAGTGTTCACGAAACCTACGGAAACATATCAGTACTTGAAAAGAACATCATCCCATCCAGACCATGTGTTCCACGGTTTTATCAAAGGAGAAATCCTACGATATGCCAGAAACACAAACAATGAGGATGATTTCTTACAAAAAGTACAAAGTCTCAAAGAAAAACTACTGAAAAGAGGCTACAATCAAGCCGATATTCACAAGTGCAAGCAATCCATTGATTTCTCACAAAGGAAATCTATGATTCACACAGAACAAGTGAAAACCAAAAAAGAACTTCCCCTCGTCTTCACCACGACTTACAACCCCCATGTAAAACACATGGACATCTCCAGACACTGGCATCTTATCTCAAGCAACCCAACTTTGAAGGAAGTGTAGCGTTTTCAGATTATCAATTCTTAATTATCAATTCGTCTTAGTTTTTAGTTAATTATCACACTTTAATTATCAATGTTCCTTTTGAACTTTTTAATGGTTAATTCTCCTGCATGCATTACTCATCGTTTTCCTTGTATACACATACACCCACACAGTGCCTATGCAATGTGTAGTCCCTATACTTTTATACAGAGTAGATGACCTTCACTGCCCACACACACAAGTCATTGGTCAGTTTCTTAGTACAACCAAGTTACTTTTAAGATCATTGTTTAAAGGAAATATATTACTCATTCCTGGTCATTTTTTCTGAGACTCAAGGAAACCAAGATATGACTAAGTTTTCCCATTCTTAAGTATTTCTTATTCTCCAGACTTCCTGTTTCCACCAGTATATAAGTCCTGCTCCACTAGCAGTTCTTCATTCCATTTCTATTCTATTCTATTCTGTTTCAATTCCAATCATGTAGTCAGTTAATTCGTTCTGCTCATCCAGTCAGTTCACCGTCAGTTCTCTTTGTCTCAATTCACTGTAACCAGTTCAATCAATCAATGTGTAAATAACATAATTGTTGTGGAATAAACAGTCACGGTAAACACAGTCCTCAACCAAAGAATTGTGTATCGACTCATCCATTCCCCAACAGAAGTTTTCCCTAAACCTCCCTTAGTTGCTTATAAGATAGCTGAAAACACCAAGAAGGGACTTGTCAGAGCCAAACTCAGCCATACGGAAGAAAACCAATCCTCCGCAACTGAGAACGATGATAACACACTTGATATCCTAATTTCACTATTGGATGAACAAATCCCATCAAAATGAAGTTGTAATCACAAATACCGGATAAATAAGACGGAATCTTTTCCTCAAAGTGAGTTCCAGTTAACTCACTAACCCATACCTACCGATTCCTTGAATCCAGCGGCTGATGAGTCCCCGATGGAACGAAAATGCATTCCCGCTATTGCCCTCAGGTAAAACCTAACCCACCCCACTGCCTGGGTAAACTTGGCTACGGTCAAAACTTCCTTTGATTTCTCCCTCTTATTTCTACCCAATTTTTGAGATCCCTTCATGTGTCTCAATTGAAGAAATGAACCACACAATATCACACCATCGAATAACTCAATGTGTTGTTCTTACGCACATTTTTTTTATTCACAAGCCAATCTATAGGAGAGGCGTCTCTGATGGATAGAGCCATCATTTCTCTCACCCCCCCCCCGCTCTGACACCCAAAATCGATCTCTAAATTAATTTGTCATTTGTGTCCTTTAACTTAAACCGAGTATGCAAAAAAGTAAACAAACTGTCAAGGTAGGCATTAGTAGCGCAGTAGACAGGCTGTGCTTGATTATCCCAGGTGGAGGAGATTGTAGACAGCATGAAGAAGATGTCTAGGTCGTCGTCTTGAGTCAGTTCATGGACGATTCTAGCGCCTGTTGCTTTTGCACCAAGGATGCGGGACATCTGACCAAATGTCATCTCTAATAAGCCTTCCTCCTCGATGAATATCGATGAATAATACCGGTCCTCCAATCCACCAGAGATAGATTAATCGCTTAGAACTTTGGGAGTCAGGTTGGCGTGGCGGTACTTTCCTCGCCTTCCACCGCTGTGACCCGGGTTCGAATCCCGCCCGGGCCAATATGTGGATTGGGTTTTCAGTCCCTACCTGATTTCGTGGGTTCTCCTCAGAATATTCCTCTGGGCTTTTCCTCCCACCTCTAAAACTGTAATGTCTTCTCATTGTCTTCTCTCTACAGGTTTCTTCAGGCTTCCGGGCTACAGTGCTTAAGGCACTTTTGAGGGACCCTCGGTTTCATTACCAGAAAGAAATAAAATAAATAAAATAAATAAAATAAATAAATTACTCCTGCTAGGTGGAAGATGCCTTTGACTGGAGGGACTCGCTTGTCATCTCGGAGCTTCTCAAACATCGCTGCCACGCTGTTTTTGCTGGAGATGTCAAGTGCAAACTCGTAGAGGTTAACTTTGTTGTGTTTCAGGTAGTTCACTGTTCTCTTAGCAGCTGCAGTCTGAGCCCCTCTTCGTGAGACGAGAACAATGTGCATGGCACCATTCTGGCATAGCCATCTGGAGAGAGCCTGGCCAATGCCTCCAAAGAGGCGTATTGAAACATGCTCTATTTCTGGTGGATATGAGCTCCCGTCGGTCGGGAAGTCGATGCGCATCTTCAAGCGGGCGAAGACGCAGATTTTTGAAAAATCTCTTTGATTTCCGTGATTTGTGATATTTTACCATAAAAATTTCTGTTCTGGAAAAAACCCAAAGGTTTATCAAGGCCCAAAAAAGAAGAAAAAGGAATGATGATTTGAAGCGGTGTCTGTATAGGCAAATACCCACGAACGCCATAACCCTGCATATCTCTTGGGCCGGTCCTCAGCGAATCCCCAAACCCTCTGCAAATTATTTTGTTGATTCCCGCCCCCCCTTAAATCTAATCCATACAACACAAATTGGTTACTACAAAGAGACAACGCAGTATTTTGTCTTCAACACTTGCCGCGCACGATTTATTTCTCTGTTACACGAAAGTCTCAGTACAAATCCCCAGGCGCGGATCGGGGGGGGGGGTCAAAAAGCCCCACAGCTCTGTCAAAATAAAAACAAAATTCATAGAAATTCATGGAAATAAATTTTATCCCCCCCACTCTGACACCCAAAAATTGTTTACTGGTAATAATGTCCGCCTTTGCACAAAATACGGACAGAGCCAGATTGGTTTGGGGGTATTTGCACACTATTCTGTGATATACTGTTAATCATCGTCGGATTTGAAAAGCGCCCCCATAGAAAGTACGGTAGGAGCCCCCCCCCCCCTCCCAACTTATTGTTTTTTGGAGGCCAAGTGTCCGACCAAAAAACCCTGTCTACATTTCAGATTTTTTGGCCGATGAAACCCCCCCCCTTCCCCCGCGAAAATTCCTGGATCCGCGCCTGATCCCTATCACTAAACACCACTGCAAGGTTATGGGGGAAAATAACACATTAGTTACATATAGAAGTTGGAATACCTTTCATTTATTCTATATATCACCAATGATATGAACAATTTAATACAAAAAAATATAGTTTAGAGCCTCGAAAAATCCTAAGATTACCATTGTAAATCACATCATTAGGTTTTAAATATTATAAGACGAATTAAAGCATCCAGCAATTCTTTTCTTGAAAAGGAGATTTAGATGGATATTGACGTTTTACAATTATATTTGGCGTTTTCAAGATCTTGAGTACCAGCATCCACGATACCTATCTACGTATGATTGTTCTTAAGTGTCCTTTGACCAAACTGAGTATGTACTGAAAGGTAAACAATCCGTCACCATTTTCACGAACAGCCACATACTATAATGTTGATTTTGAAGAAAAGTGTTTTCGAGACATTCGCAAAAGAAGTTTCTCATATTTTAATACTGCAAGAAATACTACTTTGCAACAACATTGTGCAATGAAAAAACTTCACATGATTCTATGCGAGCTGAATTTTTACGTGAACCCAGTAATTAGAATTAATACCACTGTATTAATTAGTTAATTAGTGACAATTAATTTGTAATGATATGTGGCTCTTCGTGAAAACGAAAATTCAAGTTTCCTACATATTGGCCCTTTCTGTTTAATAGGTTTTGTACGCGTTCAAGGGGCCAAAATGTATATGGCTCTTCGTGAAAACGCAAAACTCAGTTTTCGAGATATCTGCCCCTTGCATCATTAATGTTGTTTGGAAATTAATGATGTAATGCTTACAGAAACAAAATAAAGTGAAATAGTGAGGAAAAAAAATCAAAATCGAAAAAAAAATGGTAATTTTTGACATATGTGGCTGTTCGTGAAAACGGTGACGATTATTATGGTCAGTTGAATACATTTTAAAAATTGAATCTATTATCCCCAAACCAATTAATGTTCCATATCTACTTTTAGTTTACATGACACCCGCGAGAAGAAAATAGAGTTAATCTATCTCTAAATTAATTTGTCATTAGTGTCATTTAACTTTAAACTGAGTATGCACACAAAAGTAAACAAATTTGTAAGTTGAATTTTTTTAAAAAGCATATCTACTATCCGTAAACCGATTAATCTTCCATATCTACTTCAGTTTACATGATACCCGCCAATAAAAAAATAATAAGGTTAATCGATCTCCAAATTGTCATTAGTGCATGTCCTTTAACTTTAAACTGAGTATTCAAACAAAAATATATAGTAAACAAATTGTCAGTTGAATACTTTTTTAAAAAGCAAATCTATTATCCTCAAACCCATTAATCTTCAATATCTACTCTTTTTTTTACATGATATACCCGCCAATAGAAAATAGTTAATCGATCTCTTAATTTGTCATAAGTGTCCTTAAATTTAAACTGAGTATGCAAACAAAAATATATAGTAAACAAATTTTCAGTCGAATACTTTTTAACACGCAAATCTATTATCCTTAAACCGATTAATCTTCCATATCTACTTCAGTTTACATGATACCCGCCAATAAAAAAATAATAAAGTTAATCGATCTCCAAATTGTCATTAGTGCATGTCCTTTAACTTTAAACTGAGTATTCAAACAAAAATATATAGTAAACAAATTGTCAGTTGAATACTTTTTTAAAAAGAAAGTCTATTATCCTCAAACCCATTAATCTTTAATAGCTACTTTTTTTGCATGATATACTCGCCAATAGAAAATAGTTAATCGATCTCTTAATTTGTCATTAGTGTCCTTAAATTAAACTGAGTACATGTATATGCAAACAAAAATGAAGAGTAAACCAATTGTCAGTTGAATAATTTCTATTCAGCGAATTTGTTAACTTTCAGACTCATTAATCGTCCATATCTATACCTGAGTTTATACAATACCCGCTAATAGAAAATATAGTTAATCGATCTTTAAATTTGTCATTATAGAATCCTTTAACTTAATTATATGTGTATACCGGCAAAACTAAACAGTAAAATTGATTATCAGTTGAATCCTGTTTAAAAAGCGAGGTTTTTAACACTCAAACCCATTAATCTTTCTAATCTACGTTTACCCGCTACCCACCAACAGAAAAAGTCGCATAATCAATTTCTAAACTTTTCATTTGATTCTTATTTTACATCAAATCTATAAGATATACGTATAACTCAAAAAAATTGAGTTTTTGCCATTCACTAAAATTCAATGACCATCACAAAAAAATGGCCGGATACGTTTTTTTTTTCTATACTGTATATCTCGAAGATGAATACAAAGAGACTGCCCTGAAATTTTCATTTTTGGAAGAACTGCGACATCGTTCTGATTTTAAATCAGAGGCCAAGGAACTTTTGCATAATATTCTGGTATTTGAAAAAAAAATTATGTACGTAATTTTGGCATACTAAATGAAAGAAATGTGTGATATAATCTGGCGATGTAAACTTTCGAAGAGGAGAATAAATACAGAATAAAATATTATAAAAATAGATAATCTTTGATAATTTTATCGGTTAAACAGAATTGTTCTTGAATCTTGGCAATTGCAAGATTCGACGTCACGCAGGATTGGCTCAGCTTGATTGACACTTGCGGCCGATGTTGTGTACATGGCCTGAGAAAAACCTAGAATCTAATTGATTGTTCTCTTGGAATTTCAACTAATTATTTTTTTACACTATTCTGTTTGAGATTGAAGAAAAGGCGGTGTTTTCACAATTACACGCATTCAATTCAAAAAGCCGAAACATTTTTTCCTAATTTCCTAATTTTTTCCTAATCTTAAATGCCGATAGAAGTTTTCTGGTATACATTATTGTTCTGCGTATTTGTTGGTTTATATTTACATGTGTGTATGGACCCCGTGCGCAAGTACCCCTTCTTTGATGTTGACAAGAGAACACTTGTCTTGTTTGTACGCCATTGCCGCTGCGACAAGGTCTAAACAGTGTGCGCTTGCGCAAATTCAGATAAAATAAACTCTACGTTGCACTAGGCGCTGGCGCGCTCGTATTTAGGCGCGCACGTACTAGCATTCGCACACATGGTATCCATTCGACCATTATAAAATGCCGCAGACACAAAAGCGTACTTTTGACATTGTCACTGTTTTTTCCTAATTGTCACAGTTTAGTTTGCTTCCACGGCCTTTTCCAGCAAAGCGGCTGTAGTTATGCCTCCTAAGATGTCCAACTGAGAGATGGTCACTCCCAGCTGATTGGTCGCCCAGTTCACCATCTCCAAGGCAACCAGCGAGTCCACGCCGTAGTTCACCATGGGCTGGCTGACGTCAATGGATTCCTCCGACATGCACAGAAGTTCAGCCATCTTGGATTTGACACTGGCTTCCAAGTCGGCAGCGTCAAGGCAACGAGCCTCTCCACTTGGAGACTTGGAGTTGTTGGCTGCTAGGTGGTGGAATTTCAGCATGTGCTTCTGGCAGAACTGCTGTGTGGCTCCCCAGTCCTGAAGGTAAGAACATATAACACTGGAAATAAGTCGATGTTTATTGCATCTACGTTTTTACAATGAAATGTAACCTCAATTTTGTTAATAGTGCCCACTCTTGTTAATTACACCTATAAGAATCAGTAGCGTGATATAGGCAGGCTTCATACTGATGTGTCTCTCTCTGCTTTTGGAAAGTCGATATAAGTAAGTGTGCAGATTTTGTGAGAGAGGAATACAGCACTTTGGCATTTTTTTTAAATTAAAAAAGTCAGTTTGTCTAATGAGCCTTTATCTGTTAAATTGTGATTTAGATTGTAAACGATTTCAAGTGACATTATACACCATACATACCATGTTTGCAAGACACACGCATGGTAGATCCTTCCGTGGGAGAAGCTGACCGAGCACAGCAAGAAACTCGTCCACGTACAGCTGGTAGTTCCCCTTCATGGCTATGATTTTGACTGTCTCTGCCTTGTCCTCCAGGTACCCAGCTCCTTTAATGGGGGCCAATTGCACTGAAAGTGCAGGCAAACCACAGTTGTGTCTCTTTTCAGCAAGAGCGTCAAGGTAGGCATTAGCAGCGCAGTAGACGGGCTGTGCTTGATGACCCCAGGTTGTGGAGATTGAAGACAGCATGAAGAAGATGTCCAGTTTGTCCTCTTGAGTCAGCTCATGGAGGATTCTGGCACCAGTTGCTTTGGCACCAAGGATTCGGGACATCTGATCAAATGTAATCTCTGATAGATCTTCCTCCTCAATGACTCCGGCCAGGTGAAAAATGCCTCTGATTTTAGGTACTTGCTTGTCGTCTCGCAGTTTCTCCAACATCGCTGCCACGCTGTTTTTGCTGGATATGTCAAGTGCAAACTCGTAGAGGTTAACCTTGTTGCGTTTCAGGTAGCTCACCGTTCTCTTTGCAGCTGCCGTCTGAGCCCCTCTTCGTGAAACGAGAACAATGTGCTGGGCACCATTCTGGCATAGCCATCTGGAGAGAGCCTGTCCAATGCCACCAAAGCCACCGGTGATTATGTAGGTAGCATTGGATGTGAACTGGTTCAGTGATTGCTTCACTTCAGTTGGCTGGAAATCTTCAGGTACTTCAAAGACGATCTTACCAATGTGGGAACCCTTTGACATAGTCCTGAATGTTTCCTTGAGCTCTTTGATAGAATGGACTGTGACTGGAATAGGCTTCAGCTTAGATTCTTCAAAGAGGTGAATGACCTTCTGCATGATGTTCTGAACTATAGCTGGTTGCTGCTTCATCAAAACGTCCACTTGGCAGGAATGGAAGACTTTGTTCTCCAGGAAGAAGCCCATAGGAAGATTACAATTCTGCAGAATGTCTCTCTTACCAATCTCACAAAATCGTCCAGCAGGAGCCAGCAGAGAGGTGCCCGTTTGAAGCAGCTTACCAGACAGAGAATTAAGGATGACATCCACACCCCTTCCGTTGGTCCATTTCATAACATCATCATAGAAACGGGAAGACCTGGAATCGCTGACCATCTCAATGCCAAGCTGCTTCTGTAGATAGTTTCTCTTCTCCTCTGTACCGGCAGTGCATATGATCTTCGCTCCAATCATTTTTGCAATCTGAACTGCTGCAAGACCGACTCCCCCACAGGCTGAGTGAATCAAGATAGTCTCATCCTCCTTGAGATTGGCTCGTTCGACCAGGCAGAGGTATGCCGTCACAAAAACCACACCAACACTTGCACTGTCTACAAAGCTGAGGTTTTCTGGTTTCAAGACAGTTAACCGTGCGTCACAGATAACGTGGGAACCAAAACAGCTTTTCCCAAATGCAATGACCTCATCACCTATTTTGAAGCCATGTGCCCCCGATGTTACCTCTTGTACAACGCCTGCACACTCAAGACCAAAGGACGGCTGTGTTTCATCTTCTAATCCCTCAAGAAGACCAAGTGCCATCATGACGTCTTTGAAATTGAGAGGAGCTGCCTTGACTATAATCTTGACATGGCCCGGTGGGACTTCAAAATCATGGACATTATGGAATGCAAGATCATCAATGGAAGCCCCTTTACCAGTTAGCCCCCTTAAATCCTGTCCCACACGCCACTTTGTAGACTGAATCTTGTTTTCAGTGTTCAAATCTTGATGCAGAACCCGAGAAACAAACCTCTCCTTCTTTCGGATCACAAGCTCTCGCTCTCCAAGATCGTGGTCATTCATCAGCTTAAGCATCTCCTGAACGTTATCTGCCAGTGAATTTTGGGGGTCAAAATCTACCGAGAAAATAGTTACCCCAGGGATCTGATTGCTGACGGATCGAGTCAAGCCAATTACCAGCGAACCATTCGGAAGTGATGAATCCATGTTTCCTCCCTTTGTCACAACCCACATACGTTTGACAACCTCTGGATATGACTCAACTGCCTGGAAAAGTTTCAACAGGGCGTGAAGCTTAGAGTCTTCTTCGCTGTAGATGTACATCAATTCCATTGGGGAATCAGTGTGCTCACTGAACACACGATCAAGAGACTTGGCCTCGGAGAAGTTGCTGATCTGGACTTCACCATGGTAGTGAGGAAGGAACTCAGATGAGAACCTGTTGTTGATATTTCGTACTATGAATAGCTTGTCTTGCTGGATTATTCTTTTTTGGTCGCGCTCTGAGACTGAGGGCTTTCTTCCAACAAACACAGAGTGGAAAAACTCGTTTGGTGTGGATGCGGATACGATATCTTTGAGACCAACCTTTTCCATGGTGTCTAACCAACCCTGATGATGCAGCCAGCAACGCTCCTTTCGGAAGTCATCAAACACCCAACATACATCCATAGCCCCAAACCAGAGTTCAGTCAGGTAGTGGGTGTTGGTTCCCTCCATGATGAACATGAGCCCATCAGCACTGAGTAGGTCGGTCATGAAAGCCGTGCTTCGCTGAACATCAACCGCTGCATGTAGGGTGTCCAGGCAGACTACAACATCAAAGCTGCCAGGAACAAACCCTTGGTCTTTGATTTCTTTCTCGATATCTAGCTGTTTGTACTGGACGAATGGGAATTCTTGGAGATTTCCCTGAGCTTGATTGAAGAAGGTGGCACTCACATCAGTGAAGACATACTCCATCTTCCTTTCAGTCCCAAAATCCTTCAGTGGATCAACGATGAAGCGAGTCAAACCTCCGATCCTAGCCCCAAGCTCCAGAACTCGGACAACCTTCTTGTGCTTGGCAGCTTCTCGGACAGCCCTGACAACTGCTTCAGCTCCAGCTTTGTAGTAGATTCTTGTGCTGAGTGAATCAAAGAAATAACGGTCGAGTCCGTCAGCACTAAACATGAGGGGAACGGCAACTTGTGGATCACGCAGAGTGTCAGGCAGAGCTTCACCAAGGGTTTTCGTTAAGGTCATCTCTGAATCCAATTCAGGAACATGCTGGAGGATCTTCTTTATGACTGCAGGAATCTCATTGTGCTGAATGATTTTGCTTTTAGCATTTTCTGAAATGGTCTGAAAGCGATGGATGTACTTCGTGTAGCTCTTGCCCTGTGCCCGCTCTTCTTGTGGGACGGTACTAAGAGCATTTCGTATGTATGAGACGCACACTCCCTCAATATCATCAAGAATCTCTTCTGTTCGCTTGATGGCATCCATTTCTTCTCCATATGCCTGATGAAGATGGCTCTCCTCAAAAACATCTTCGAGGACTGATGTTGGCAGTGTATTGGCTGATGCTGGTTGCCACTGGGTAGTGTAGATGCATGATTCAATTGGAACATCTGACTGGCTACCGTTAAAGTTCTGTCCCTGGAACCCTTTCAGAGTTGCCAAGATTTTGCCTTCCTCAGTAGCCATGGTGATATCTGCTGTGAGAATCATACTGTCACAATCGATAATTCTGGTGTAGGCGATAATGGGTTGCCCTGATGGAATAGCCTCTCTGGATAACTCGAAGGAATCTATGTGCACTGGAAGGTACATTGCGCTGTTTGAACCAACAGCAGACAAAGCCAGTTGAAAAGTTGCATCCAGATGAGCCACTTGGACTCTCTGCTTGTTGTCAGGAACTGCATGCAGAACAGCAAGTGCCTCGCCATCACCTAGGAACATCTTCTCCACCATCTGGAAAGCAGGTCCGTAGCTGAGACCCAGGTCTTGGAGCCTGGAATAAAACTCCTCACCAGTGACCTCAGTAGAGCACCTCTCTGTTATCTTCTCAAGAGGGAGACTCTCTTCCACATCCGTTTTGCTGGAGACATCAATCTGTGCGTTGCTGTGTAGATTTCCATCAAAGGTAACTTGGATTCCAGCTCCATCTTTCACGAGCCCAAGGTTCAAGGTGCACTTCTTGGAGTCTGAGTCTTCTGGCCATGGTAGAACACGGGTGAAGTTGATGTTCTTTAGAGCCGGTTTCTCAGTTTCCTCAAAACTCATCTGTGTCATGTACTCGATGTAGCCAGCTCCAGGGAATAGGATTCTGTTGCCCACAACATGATCAGCCAAGAAGGGGAACATCTCCAGGGAGAGGTTGCCACTCTGTCCTTTGAAGGTGCGGTCATCCAAACCCAGGCGACGTTTCCGTCTCTCCTCTGTCTCCAACCAGAAAGACTGGTGTTGCCATGGATATGTTGGAAGTGGTGCCCACTCAGCTGATTCACGGGTTATTGTGGCCCAGTCTAAAGGAACACCGTTTGCATAGAGAGTGCCCACTGCTCTTTGGATACTCTGCAGATCATCTTTGTCCCGCAGGCTAGAGTTCACGGTGACGGGTGGGTATTTGGGATCCAAGCCACGGGCAATCTGCTTTACTGAGGATAGCAATGTGTTTGAGGCTGCAATCTCAAGAAAGACATCAGGCCTTGTCTCCTGCAGAATAGCTTCAATGGCAGGCTGAAAGAGTACAGCACCTCGAATATTGCTCCACCAGTAGTCAGTGCCAAAACTGCCATCGTAGTAATCACCTGTTACGGTTGAGTAGTAGGGTACATCTCTCTTTCCAGGTTTACTCTCGACAACACCTTCCATTGCCCTGGAAAATGGCTCCTTGATCGGGTCCATCTCTGGAGTATGGAAGGCGCAAGTCACCCGGAGCTGTTTGGCCTTTCCTGGATTTTGATCAACCACAGTGGTGATGACGTCTCTGTTTCCAGCTAGAGTGATTGCACCAGGTGCATTGACCGCTGCTATGTAGAGATTCTGGTGCTCCTGACAGATCTTCTCTGCCTGTTCTTTGTTGGCTCGCAGTGCAGCCATTCTACCTGTTCCCTGTTGTTTGGCTTGTTCGTGGCTGCGGTGATAGATTACAGCCACGGCTTCCTCTAGGGTCAGGCCACCACTTGCATAGGCTGCAGAGATCTCACCAAGGCTGTGCCCCACAACAACGTCAGGGTGTACTCCCCAGTGCCTCCAGAGATGATACAGTGCGACCTGGATGAACATGATGGCAGGCTGAATGACTTCTACCTGACAGAGTGCATTGTTTACAGATGTATACGGAGACGTGTCTGGATTGATTGGATGGCTGTTGAATAAACCACAGTATTCGAGCAGGGACCATCCGGACATCTTTTTGAAGATCTGATCACAAGTATTGATCGTGTCCCTGAAAACCATCTCATCTCTGTAGAGCTTGCGGCCCATGTCCTCCCACTGCTGCCCTTGGCCAGGGAAAACGAAGCAAACCTTCGGTTTTGCTTGAGGGGATGTGCCAGTAACAACAGCTTCAGATCCAGAACCTTCAAGAAACCCCTGTAGGCTCTGTCTGCAGGAGTCGGTAGAGTCAGCAATTACAGCCATCCGATAGGCATGGTGATCTCTTCGAGTTGCCTGCCATGATGCCACACTCATGGCATCTTTGTCACATTCAAACTCCAGCCACTTCTTTGCAAGATCTTTCAGAGCCTCCCCGGATTTTGCAGAAAGAGGGAGGATGATTGGGCGCCCAACCTTATCATCTCCAAATTTCCAGCTAGCCAAGTCCGTGTGTTTGGCTTCGCTATTTATTTTCGGTCCTTTCTGAAAGATCATATGTGCAACTGCTCCAGCAAAACCGAAGCTGTTTAGGCCAATGGTGTAGGTATCACCCGTCTCCTTGACTTTGTTTGGCTTACTCTCCAGTGGCTCAAGTTTTGTCTGGACATCGAGGTTGAGCTCTTGTAGGTCAATGTTAGGGTTTTCATTGACAAAGTTGATGGTGGGGACCAGCATATTGTTATCTAGCATTAAAGCAACTTTAATGGCAGCTGTGATCCCGGCAGCACACTCGTTGTGCCCAAAATTGCTCTTCACAGATCCTATTTTGACTGGGGTGTCCCTAAGGTGGCCAAAGGTGTGACCTATAGCACTTGCTTCAATGGGATCGCCTACAGGAGTTCCAGTCCCGTGGGCCTCCACATACTGAACAGAAGATAGTGGAACTCCTGAGCGTGCATAGGCATTCTTCATCACCATCTCTTGGGCGGGTGCTGAGGGCATTGTAAGACTCTTGCTGAAACCATTTGCTGCGATGGCACTTCCTCGGATGACGGAATAGATATGGTCGTTGTCAGCAAGTGCTAAGTCGAGAGGCTTGAGGATGAAGACTCCCCATCCTTCGCTTCTTACATAGCCCTTGGCCGTGTCAGAAAATGGACAACACTTTCCATCAGGTGACAGGACGCCCAGAGCACTGAAACCAACAGTGCCCTCAGGGATGAGTAGATTGTTGCAGCCCCCCGCAACAGCAGTTGTGCACTCGCCGTTCCATATAGCATTGCAGGCACTATGCATGGCTGTCATAGACGAAGCACAAGCGGTGTCTACAGCATAGGAGGGGCCGCGGAGGTCGAAGGCGTAGGAGATTCGGTTGGCAACTGCAGAGTGTGCTACACCCGTGTGAGTGTATGGGTTAATGAGTGATGTTTCCATCATCATAATGGTGTAATCCATCATGCCAACACCGATGTAGACACCGCAGGATTCTCCCAGGGTGTCTGGGATGATTCCTGCATCCTCAAAAGCCTCGTAGGTGACTTCAAGGATGTGACGTTGCTGGGGGTCCATTGAGCTTGCCTCACGGGGTGAAATCTTGAAGAAGGTATTGTCAAACTTGTCAATGTCATGAATGAAGCCACATCGTTTAGTCACCATCTTTCTGTGGTTGGACTGGTCAGGATCATGGAAGGTTTCCAAGGACCATCTGTCTGGAGGCACCTCACTGATCATGTCCTCACCCTGTACCAGGGCATCCCAGAATGCCTTAGGTGAGTCGACACCTCCGGGCATGCGGCACCCTAGGGGAAAAAAAGGAAAATGTATAGCCGTTTAGCGATCGATTTCAATGAAGTAAATTATTACGTGTTCCACTTTGCTTTGTACGGAAGCGTATTGCTGCCAACCAAAAAAAAATAAAAAAATTAAACAATTTTATTAATTCGAAAAACAAACCCAACAATTTTGTTAATTCGAAAAACAAACCCAAAATTTGTCTTTATTCGAAAAACAAACCCATAATTTTTATTATTTCAAAATACTACCCAAAAAAGTTATTATTACGAAAAACAAACCCGAAATTTTATTAATTCAAAAAACAAACCCCTAAAAAATTATTATTTCGAAAAACAAACCCAATTGTTTTATTAATTAAAAAAACCCCGTGCGTTCGAGCGTATTACTCTTGTTACTCCCGAGTGCAGGAAAATGTTGCGTGAGCATTACTCTCGGTGCAAGGGCATCATATTCAACCACTGATGTCCAAGGCCCAAACAAATAACTTATGTTTGGATTTTTTTTAAATATGCATCCTTAAAACAATTTTAAATGTTTAACGGAAATAACGACAGGTAAAATAGAAAAACAAATTAACAACACATGGTTTGGGCTGAAAATAAACAAAAGGATGAAATCTGAGGACCTAGAGTTGAGATTTATTTAGTAATGTCATTGAAAAACGATAAACGGTATCTGTCGCGCGCCGGCACGTCTCCGTACAGTGCACGCACGAAGTTGCCTTTACCGGCCGCTGCGCGCAAAAATCACACGCTGCGCTGTATCTGTCAGTGCCTAGAATGTGCTCACACTGTCAACCTAAGTTTCTTACTTGCTAGGGTGTTTGCAACCCAAATTGTCCATAAAGGATCACTGGTTTCTTGAATTTGTAACGGAAATCTTTCAAAATGTCGTTTAAATAATTTTGCTCAATAGCGTTTCACGCTGCGACCGGGTAATGTGTTCCCCTCCACTGTCTATAGGCCTACTACGTCACATGGACTGTGCATTAGGGGGCGAGCTGGCTAGGGGGCGAGTCGGCTAGGGGGATAGTTTGTAAAAGGGCGAGTCTGTCAGGGGTCGAGTCGGCAGGGAGTGGGGGTTTTGTAGGGGCGAGGCGGTCCGGGGCGAGTCGGCCAGGGGGCGAGTTGACCTGAAACCGTCACGGATTGTAAATAAACTCGCCCCTTTGCCGACACGCCCCCTTACAAACTCGCCCCCTTACAAACTTGCCCCTTACTAATGGAGATCAATGCCCCTGACCGACTCGCCCCTTAAATTATAGCATCGCTGAAGCTTTGTCGTTTTTCGAACTAATACAATTTTGGGGTTTGTTTTTTGAATTAATAATTTTTTGGGGTTTGTTTTTCGAAATAATAAAAATTTCCGTTCGGGCGTACTACTCGTGTTAACACGAGTATACTCCTGAGCGCACGAACGGCAGGAGTACGACCAACGGGGGTTAGCAAGAGCCATTGATCTCCATACACAGAGCTCGATCGACAATGGCAAGAGTATACTCTCCGTCGTACTGGGAGTATGCTCTTGCACCGAGAGTAATGCGCACGCAACATTTTCCTGCACTCGGGAGTAACAAGAGTAACACGCTCAAACGCACGGTTTGTTTTTTGAATTCATAAAAAAAATTGGGTTTGTGTTTCGAAATAATATTTTTTGGGGGTTTGTTTTTTGAATTCATAAAATCTTTGGGTTTGTTTTTCAAAATATTTTTTGGGGGTTGCTTTTTGAATAAATAAAATTTCTGGGTTTGTTTTTCGAATTAACAAAATTTTTGGGTTTGTTTTTCGAATTAATAAAATTGTTTTAATTTTTTTTGGGGGGGGGGTTGGCAGCAATATGCTTCCGTAGCTTTGTGGTCTTTGGCATTTTTCACTTTTTTTTCCAAAGTGTAAATTTATTACATGACGTCTAAAATACTGAAGTACATGAAGGTTCAGCTTTCAGCCTGGAAAGTAGAAATAATGGATTTTTTTTTCCAACCAACAAAAAAACATTGTTATCCGCTTCTTGTTCTTATTTGTGAAACATAGTTTGTGGTCAAATTAACCCTTTGGTCGAAAAGGGATATTTTGTATGTGTCTCCGAGGATGCATAACATGTGTCTGCTGAGTTGTCTTGGTTTGCGTCGAAAAAAAATCATGTTTCTGTCACAGAGAGAACTTATGTAATTTTTGATATACAGAAAACAAGTTTACTCACCAATGCCAACAACTGCAATAGGAGTCTTAGCTGATTCCATCGTCTGTTGCAACTTGTCCATCCTGAAAATACAGAAAATAGGAGATAAAATAAATGATTGGCTGCAGAACACAATGCAGTGTTGCTTGTTCATTACAAGAATATTATTCTGACGTCATGATGACGTTATCAGTTATCAAATTACAAGCGATTTTTGTTAAGGCCAAAAAAAGCTCCGGTTTCTTGTATGCGCGCGTCGCCGTAGCCATGCGCGTCGGCAAAATTTAAAAGTGTTTTTTTTTTCAATGTAAGATGATGTGTCTCAATACCGCCAAACTCACTGGTTTGACTGGAATCCTGCTGCTGCACAATTTAACGTGTTTTAGATGGGGTTACGATCGAGAATTAGCTTTATGTGGCATCTCGGGATCCCATTTATTTTGCACTAAATTTAGTCGGGCACCATTTGCAGTCATCAGCCGACATTTGCGGGGGAAAAAAGTAAAAAAAAAACTAAAAAAAACAAAACCACCGCGTCGCCGCACCACTTTTGGGGCAAGCTCCATACCAGAAACCGAAGACTTTTTGGGGGGCCTAAAAAGTGATCATTTTATTTTCTCATTTGTAATTCATGAAAAATCATGTTCGTACTTTGTGATCTGATGGTTCACACCTTGTAGAACATGTTGATTTCCGAAGGTAAATTCGTCTGACCGGATAGTGAAAGTTATTTCAAAATATAGGCATGAGCCTCAAATCAAAACAAACGAAAATTTCTCCAAACGGGGTACGGGATGATAATAAAACCTAGTATGAACTTGAACCTCAGTCTGAAGATGCGATAAATTTTGTGACCGTCATCAAGTATATAATTACAAACGATTAAAGGTCAAAATTTGAATGATTAGTTGGAATTGTAATTTTTCAAATGAAAGGTGTAACGTTCTATTTTTTTTGGGATCAGTTTAATAGACAATATTTGTGATTTCGAACCCAAAGCCGTTTGACCTTTACTACCAGTGTTACTGGAAGTGCAGTGAAAATTGAATATAACTTGAAAACGGAAGCATATTACTTCAGACAAACACATTAGGAAAGTGTTAGGTTTGGAACGCCAAACACAAAAAAAACAAGCATGATGACGTCATTACCCAACAGGCCGTCATCTAGCAACATATAAAAGACAGTTGAATTTAAACTCCATTTGTCAAAAGTTTGACAAATTCAACCAGATATTCTTTTGAAAACTGCAAATGACTCAGCAAGGTTTAAGACCGGAAACGGTCATCGGACCGGACGTAATTGTAGAGAGAAATCGAAAATTATCAGATTTCTTTCTTTTTAAAAAGTCCATTATTTGATCCGTGTATAATGACCATTTTTAGAAGCACAAATAATGATGTTCCGTACAATATGTTGACTTTTTGCCTCAAAATGCTGTGACGTCATCAGACTGGAAGTAAGGTGTTATTAATAAATACACTCATACATTCGTTGTACTTTTTCAATGTTCGTACGTTCGTTTCGCTTCATGATTCTTTTCAGTTCATGATGAATATTTATCCTCGCTGAACCAAGTCAATATTGCGTTTGCACATTTTAACTGGTGACGTCATCAAACCGGAAATAGCGTGTATGTATATGTAAAATGTATATTACAATTTATCAACGCAAAAGGACACATTTTTACTGTAAATTAAAACAACTGGTCCCATTGGAAAACGAACGTGAATTTTTTTATGACATCCAATAATTTGTAAAAGTAACAATTCAATAACTAAATAATGGGCCGATTTTTTTGGTCCATGTCTCATTCAAAAGTGAATAACTTTGGTATTGCTAGGGAAAAAAAGCAGCTGAGAAAAAGTATCTATGAAACTCGAATGTAGCACGGGGATAAATCCACACAGCGTGATCCACACAGCGTGATAAAAATTCATGTTAGGGTGCGTGATTTTAGTGGTTAAAATACGATGTATGCTGCAAACAAACAAAACGCAATCGAGTGGGGTGTCACGGTATTATTCAGACAACCCCTTAGAAAAAGCTTTTTTTTTTTTTTTTTAAGTTAATGGACTCTAGGCCCTATATTTGCGTCAAAACGAAACTGTCAAAACGAAACTGTGCAACGAAACTGTCAAAACATAATGAAAAATCATATTTATAGTATTGAGTATCCTGTGATATCAGTCATCATTCGAGAAATGGGGATTACATCACTTCCCTGTTATGCTATTACGCATGGTAAATGTTTGACCAAATATAGTGGCAAACTAGCATCATTCCAAAAAAGGATGCAAGTCAAGACATAATAATAAAAAGTTTGGAAGGATAACTTTCAACGGAAATCCTGCTTTGCGTCAGGAAAAATAAACTTTAATTTTCACATTTTTCTCAAAACGTATTCTATGAGCTTCAATTTCCACAGGATTTTTTTTTATAATCTGCTTCCCAATTACTGTTTTGCTATCCTTTGTATAGGCAAAAATCCTTTCTTTTTTTTGCGAACAGTCCACATTACCTTTAAATACAGGCAAATTTGCCAAGCGGTTTTTCAAAGTAAAGTTTTGAAATATGTTCATGCTTTTTCGTCTACGTGTTCAGAAAGTATTTTTATAATTTTTTTTTACAATGTTTTGCGAAACAAGTGATCAGCAATGTCCTCATGCATTAGCAGTTCCGTCACTCTCTGAACAAAAACATACCGTTGCTCCTAGTAACATATTTCTTGAAAAATATATTCAGAAGTTCACAAAAAAATGAACGGGCAAGTCAAAAAACCTTTTAAAAAATATAAAAATCAACTCAAATGCAAGAAAAAGAAACTTAAACTCTGTGGATAACATACACATAAAACTTAAATGCAGGTAATCCTATAGACTAAAGTAATCAAAACCTGGACAAACGTATATTACAAAACTTAATAGAATCCCACAACTTCAATACTTTCCAAGAAATGAACACTTCCAATGTTTAGAAATGAGCCAAAAGAATAATCAAGTTGGAATAAAAACTTATAACAGTAATCAAAAGTTTCAAAGTTTCCAAACAGAAAGGCTAGTTAAAACGATTTCTAAGAAAAGAGTGGAGACAAAAACAGTTTCATGTACATGTATAGGGAAAAAAGGAGCTAAACAAATGATACTGAACTGGATAATATGAGTATCATAAAGGCAAATATAAACCTGGATTTATACAATAATAAGAAAAGTAATGAAACTCATGAAATGTACCAAAAATAGAGCAGACACTTAATTGTGATCGGGATGAAAATGCACTAATGCTGGAGCAGGGCTTATATGTCTTGCCTGTGTGATGCACGGATCCTAGACACCAGGATAAACGACTGTTCTGAGCCCTACACAGAAAACACAAAGTGAGCAATTTGACTCAATATCGTAACAATTGAGTCATTTTGTCCGTGTAGTGAGACACTTTGAGCCAAAATGTGTCACTATACGGACAAACTGACTCATTTTTTTTACAATAATGAGTCTAATGACTCTTTTTGTGTTTTCTGTGTAGTACAAAATGCACTCAGTGGACTTGCCTTAATTGGTTAGACGCGATGATAAAGGGCATTAATACCCGTTGGCGCGTAATCGGGAATTTTCCAGATGTGTCATTGTGTTGGTTTTTTGCACGACATCTAAAACGGAAATATTCATAAAACTGAAAACTACTTCTTATTTAAGATATAATTGTTCCAAATTATTTTAAAAATAAATACTTCAGGATATAACAGATGGTATTGTGCAGTATTTACCCGGGAAATAAACGTCAAATTTCGAGGAGAACACCGTTTACCCAAATTTCGTTTTTAATTAGGCTTTTATTAAAAAGTTTTAGAGAGATAGGATGCCGAACCGATGAAACAAAAGCGACATTTCATTGTTCATCTTAAAGCTAAAGATATTGTGCTCGGCATTACCATGGTAACGTAGTTACCACTTATCAGAATTCAATAATTCAAGACCAAAAACGTAGACTCATGAATATTCAAAAATATCATTCGCTGGCTTGACAGACTTCGAGGCCAGATCGGGCGCAGAGCCTTGCAAATCTGAAAGCCACCGCGCGCAGTGGTCTTTGTTGAAAAGTATTCATGGTATTTGCCATTAGTACAGGCCGTTATCACGCGTCTAACCAGGAGTTGGGCCGAGTCGTTCATCCTTGTGTGTAGGATCCGTGTGTGATGCTGGTCTGCTGAATGAGCCTCTAGGTCAATGAACCATAGAGCAATGAAACGCAAGAAGTTGGGGCTAGAATAAACAATGGGGGAAGCCACTACTAAACTAAACACGGGAGAAGAGGGGGTATACTCCTATAAAAAGACGGGTATAGCAGATCTGAAACTAGGGAAAAACTTTAACTTATTTCTACTCCTTTTACACTTTCCCCATCTTTAAAATGTTGGTTCCTGACAACAACAAAAAATACTTATGAAAAAAATTGTTATATACACAATTATTTAGTCTCGGAAGCGGACTGGTACACTTGTTCGATACGTGCTTCAATGGTGTATCGAATTTAATTTATTTTTAAGGAGAACAAAATCCGAGTCACTTTCTTTTTTACTCGCCCTGTATTTATGTCTTCACAATAACTTCTTTTGGTTAAAATCTAACTATTCAAGTTTTTGTGCAACCCTAGTCATCGCTTGGATAGCGTGAATATTACATCATATATTGCATTACTGTGTTGGTGAACAACTAAGAACAAGTGACTCGAGACTCGGACCCAGACTCGATGCTTGTGACTCGGCGAGACTCGGACTCGGACTCGAGGCTTATGACTCGAGACTCGGACTCGGACTCGACGTTGGTGAATCAACAACAACACTGGTTTATGAAAAAAAATGAGGCAGTTTGAAAAGTTGCAAATTTAAAGATTACGGGAGTAGAAATTGCTAAGCGCAAACATACATGCTTGGCCCCTTATTCGGGCACTGTGCAGTCGCGTGCTCCCATGCATCAAACTGTCATTTTTTTTTCGAAAAATGTTGTTAATGTTGGAAGATTTACAGTCTTTTGTAGCAAACGAGGTATCAAAACAACAACATTCCCCAAAGGTCTATATAAATGACGTTATCATAAGACCATCAGATTCTAAATTATGACCCCTCCTATGAGTGTGGCCTTTCTTTCTTTGCGGTATTTATTCAGCTGAGTGAGAACCAGAAATTGTACACATGCATTCAAATTCAAATGAGATTTTCGTAGCAAATTTTCGTCAATTCAACGAAAGGCATCAATGCGTAACGGTATGGACTGCAGCCGGTTAGTCTATTGTATGTACTTATTCCTATGTAAATACTTCCAAGCTAACTGGATCGGAGCGAGATTTAATAGAGCGATCCACATAGGCCTACTCGCTTGCCACCGTTCATCCGCAAATTACAGTTTTTAATTTTTAACATTTTAACATTGCTCCATTTGTATTGCAGACAAGATGAATAGTCAGCCCAACTGAAGAAATATGAAATCCGTTTTCTTAATTCGTGTCTTTGCAAACTAAATAATCATTAATAAACTGTAATAAACTTTACAGGTCCTTAATCTTACCTCTCGTCCAATAAGTAATAGCCTTATCATGTTAAAATATCGAAGTTTACCTTAAGATTGTCCTGCCGTAAAAATATTCAAAGATTACAATATGTTCAGACTGTTGATCGGCCAAATATAAAACTAACTACACTCTCAAAACGCTGGTTAAAATTTTGTTGGTTAAATAAGTTGGTTAAAATTTAAACCAATTGGACAATTTTACACAATGTTGGTTAAAATTTTAACCAACTTTTTTAACGAACCTAATTTGAACCAGCGCTTTGAGAGTGTTCTGATTCGGGTATAATTAATACAGTATCATCCCGGGAAAAAATAATGATGAAACCAAAAGTGAATCGATAAAGAAAATCTTGTCTCTTTGTTACCTGAGTTTGCGAAGAATATTGATCAGTCTGAATCTAACTGGCTGTAAAATGTCTCGTTGCTTCTTCCCGTTGCGAAAATCCTGAGCATCAGGTTTTTCGGCGTCCAAATCTTTCTGAAACTGAACCTTTTCCGAAACTGCCCGAACTGAAACGTTTCGCTCCTTTTTAAAGGCTGGAGAAATTTCCGTCGCGGACAACCCCTTACTGTATGACCAAATAGAGTCATCAAGTACAAAAAAGCTTGGTTACGATCGCTGTGATTGGCTGACGATGATGTCATAGGCCTAATATCACTGGTGGTCACTGGCATCGGTGGTCACTTCATTTCTGATTACGTAAAAGGTTGAGGTGATCGGACCAGATGGGCCCCTCCAATTCAATTCCCGATCAGGCGGATGCGCGAAGCCACACCTCCGCAAAAACCATTCAAAACAAATATTTACATCCTGCACCCACCATCCTCGTATGATTCAGTGAGAGTACCGCAAGTGGCGGGCGAGAGTTCGTAGGTACAGAGTACCGCACCGAAGTGAGTCGCGTATTCTGGTTCACGCGCACATCACGCGCACATCAGCACGTGAACCAGAACGGAAAAAGCTATGCGTAACAGGCAGTGTCACGCAGTGGAAACTTTTGTTTTTTTTTATCTCCCGCCGTTTCCAGGGGTTTGAAAGAAAAAGTTTCTGAATTATGCTGTATACGTTATTGTCAACGGCATGCGCATTCAGCGTGCGGGAGTAGACGGAGGTACGTCAATCCATTGACCTCGTCATGGTCCGCGTTTCTCGGGAAGGCGTTACCTTCAGTGCAAAATATTGTGTGCACAATGCATTATGTGCGCAATGCATTGTGCACTGTTCGCGCTAATCCCTCACCAAGGACAGTGGCGGTTCTGGGGGGGGGGGGGGAAGGGCTACATGGGAACGTTCTCCCCCTAAATGAGAAGGGTGCATTTGTACACTTTTAGTTAATATAGTGTGCCTGATCGTAGGATTTTATCAGCGCTCCCCATTGAAAATATGGCACGAGCCCCCCCCCCCCCCCCCCTCCCCCTATTGATTTTCAGAGGCCTAAGTGTCCGGAGAAAATAACCTGTCTACATTTCAGCACGCCTCCCTGAAAAAAATTCTGGAACCACCTTGCTAGGCCCCCCCCCCCAAAAAAAAATATTGGCTCTAGAACCGCGCCTGACCAAGGATAGTCATTGTCATATTTCGCTTGTCAATGTCATTTCATGTTAGGCAGAAATACACTGTAAAAATGGTGTTTAGGATTTGAACGCATCGTCACCAACACCACGAAGTAACACCCATCTACATACCAGTAAAAACTAGCAATCGGAGAAAACGGCAACTAAAGTTGAACGCCTTCTAAAACAACACTTTGCGTCAAAACGACAGAGTATTTTCAGTTGGGTTTCTCGTTGTGGACACTTGATGAATTTAATTTATTAAATCTGCTTTTTTTCACCCGATTGTGTATTAAATAAACAAGAAATAAGAGAAAAAGATGAGTGTTAGTTCGTGAAACCGAAAAAGCTGCGAGACTGTAAATTTTCGTTTTCACGAAGTAACACTCTTCAATGTATACAACACGAGGAAAGTGAAACTTCAGGCCAGCGCGCGCGCGCTCATACAACTTATTACAAGAAGAGTGTTACTTCGTGAAAACGTTTTTGCTCACTATGAGCAGAGTGCATGCCATGCATTGCAATGGTAAATGGAACTTGAGTGTTACTTCGTGAAAACGAAAATTGTCACTTTTGCGCAAAAGTTGCCGTGGATACTTAGCGTAATTATTAAAGTAAAGCTCTTGAAGCTTTGAAATTTCGTGCAATGGTAGGCCTTGATGAATAATGTTTAAAAATCAAAAAAACTGAAAATCGAAAAAAATATGGTTTAACACGGTAGAGTGTATACTTCGTCGTGTCGGTGACGACATTTCTAAACACTTATTCTGTACCCACTTTTTCCACACGTTTAGAACCATGACATGTTTAGATGTCCTTTTTCTGTGACACGCATTATCCGTTTGACATGTACAGTGAATAATACGTTTAGCATTAAAACACCTTCCTAAGCGCATTTAGATATACAATCCTAAGCACATGTCCAAAACGTAAACGCGTTTAGTTTCACAACATTAAAAATTGGTAAACGTTTAGAATTGAAACACATTTCTAAACGTATTAAACTATAAACACGTTTCTGATGTGTTTAAATGCTAAGCACTGTTTTTACAGTGTACTGTTCATTACAGTTATTAGAGTGAAGTTAAAAAAACAAAAACCAGTGACGGTATACATACGCGTATCCGGTCATGCCGGGTTTGACAGGTTGCGTGTTTGTGTTGTTGGTCCGTGCTTCCAGATAAAGACTAGGTGATTTGGACTGTCGGGTGCTAGGATTTCGCAGATACTGGATCTGTGTAAAGTTGCAATGAAGTATCATTGGTGAATATTGTCCATTCGATGGAAAATTAGACCCAACATCCTGCGCAGCCATGATTTAACAGATCATATAATAATGCGGTCCCCAGCCCTGTCTATGAGATCGTGATTATTTCTATGAAAATTCGCTGTACCACAGCATGTTCACGACATCTCTTTTTACATTATAAGGCAAAAATGTTAGTATGGTACTTTTTCTTATAAGCAAGTGCATATTATTTTAACATGCCACAAATTATTCAAGCCTAAATTCTTCCAAATAATATGTATGACTATCAGTTGGCCAACAAGCCCGACGATACACTGCAAAAACACCAGTATTAAAAATGCCCGTAAATTTACGGACTCCGTAAAGTGAAATATTCCGTATTTTCGGCGTAATTTTACGGACTTTCCGTAAATGCAAATGTTAATTATGCTAATTAGCGTGATTACAATCAACCGCATCGGCCCAAACATCGGCCCAAACACCTACACATTATATTACATCTAAGTACATATTGTTATTTCACCCACAACCGTGTACACATGTCCAAACTCATGTTAAGGGTCTGTTTATTTTACGGAATGACAAAACTTTTCCGGAAATTTTGCTGCCAGCAAAAAAATAGCGTTCCGTTTTCCTGCAGCAAAATTTCCGGAAAACCAAGTGACTTGTAATTCGGTCCACATGACAAATTGACTCATTAGCCATATCGCGCATGTCTCGGTATGACCGATCAGAGCATCGCGCATGTCGGGAGAGATTCCACACAGGGTGAGAGGGTGAGTAAAAAAAAAACGAAACCCAAATGTCGGGACTATTGTTTGATTGAAGTTCTGCATGTAGCACTTTTAAAATCTAGGATATGAAAGCCCAATTCATAAGCTTTCTTTTAGTACAAGAATCATTCAAATCACTTATGTACTTTTCAAGTTACGGAATTTTAAATGCAACCACCGTTTTAAGGTTCTGTCCACGGATTACAAAAGGGTGTGCGAAAACAATTTACACACATCCCTATGTGATTTCCTTTCGTTTTGCTGAAAGATCGCTGAATTTATTTGTGATCATGACGTGGACAGAACCTTTAAACAGTGGTTGAGTTCGAAATTCCGTAACTTGAAAAGTACATGAGTGATTTGAATGATTCTTGTATTAAAAGAAAGCTTATGAATTGAGCTTTCATATCCTAGATTTTGAAAATGTTACATGCAGGACTTCTCTAAAACAATGGTCCCAACATTTTGGTTTCGTTTTTTTTGTGACTCACCCTGTATAAGGTATAAGTTATCAACCTAGTGGAAAGTTTTGATTTTTTTTTCTCCCGCCGTGTCCGTTTCGAAAGAACGGTTTTCTGATGCAAGCGGTATGTATCAAGGGCGGATCCTGTAGGAGGGGGGGGGTCCAACGGGCCCTCCCCCCCCCCAAGAAAAAAAACCACTTGTTCTGGATCCGCCTTTGACATGTTAAGTGAACAATACACCGGATCTGAAACCTCAGGCAATTTTTGTTCCCTCTCCATTGTTTAATTCTTGGAGGATCATGAAAAGAAGCTTAAGTCCGTAAAGCACGGGCGTGTGGGCGTACCGGTACCTCAGCGGGGCTTGACTAGGGACCGGCAGGGTACGTACGTACGTACGTACACACCATTGACCTCGCCTAGGTCCGTGTTTCTCGGGAGGGCTTTTATAGCTTTCAATGCAAACCGCAGTATTAATATTGAGTGCGCATTCCATTGTGTGTACAAGAAACTCTTGGCGCTAAATCGATCGCCAAGGATAATAATTTGTCCAACTCTCTAATTAGCCTAATGTGGGCACTATTCATTGCGGCTATGGACTTTTTTTTACTAGTTTATTCATAATTATGCACGCAGGCGCATCAATGGGCCTGGCGGAGGGAAGTGACAGCGGTCCATTGAAAATTTACAGGGGTCCAAATATTCGGGTCATTTTCCAGGGGCGGATCCAGTTATTTTTGTTGGGGGGGGGGGTACATCAGCAAATCAATGCTGAAATGTTAACAGATTTTTTTTGTCTGGACACTTGGCCTCCGTAAAATAAATAGGTTGGGAGGTGGTTGTCCAGAATTTGTCGCTAGGCATTATTTTCTGGCCCAAGTGGTTTTCTTGGGGCACAGAATAACAACTTTTGAAACTGCTTTCGTCCCGTGCGCACGAGGGCCGGCGAACTCAGCAGGGCTCCTTTCCTCACCAAATGTCGAGCCGGCCGGGATCGCGGTGCTGAATCGCGCCTGGGTTCACTGTGGATGAATCGCCGGGTTGAGTCAGCCACGGTGAAGCCAGGCGCGAGTCACTGCGATCCGTTCCGAAATTTGGTGGACGGGTACCCCGAAGCACGCGGTTATTTTTTTTACTGGTGCGGAAAGGGGCCCTGCTGATTTCCTTAGCCCTCGTGTGCACGGTAAAGCAATTTTTAAGTTTTCATTCTGTGCCCTCAAAAACACACTTAGGCCAGAAAGTAATGCCTTAGGTGATTTAAAGGGAATGTACAGCATTTGTTTTTGCTTCAATTTTCAGAAATAAATGGATTTGGAGGATTAATATGTTATAGAAAATATTTGTAAACTGACTTGTTTCACGTTTTGGGCTTGTATATGCTGGAAAAACCAAGAAAACCTATCATGTTATTGTAGTCTGGTTCCCTGACCCCACTTAAGATGAAACGGAGCAATTAATACACTTTGGAGAAGAGTAAGATCAGGGAATCAGTCTAGCAGGCTTGTATCCCTTCAGAGGTGTGTAAATCAATTGCAAAGAAAAGTCAAAATAACTAAATATGAAAAATTAAGAACAATTTTTGAAAAAAGCCAGTTTTCTCCATCGCTGGTCGGCCGACCAGCGTTGGAAAAATACAGGTTTTCTTGAAAATGTCAGCACACCAGGAGCCACGATTTCAAAGGATGCTTTAGACTGTCAGTCCCTAACAATTCAGTAAGGTATTTCGTGATAATTTGATCATTTTGTTTTTTTTATGTTTGCAAATGTTGTATTTTACCTTTAAGGGGTTAAATAAAAAGCGACAAATACAGGATAAATTGAGATAAAGTGACCCGTATTTGGACCCCTGTACATTTTCAATGGACCGCTTTCAAAGAGTAAAATAACAGGAACCAGGCGATTTAGAGTGGAAATCAATCTAAATAAACAAACAGGCAATCCAGTGGAAACTCAAGTGAAAACAAATTCTATTTGATTGTCGGTGTGATTGAAACCCCACCAAAATAAAGCGATTTTTTCACTTTTTGGAAATAAAAGAGCGGATTTTTTTAATTTACGAAAACGATTGTCACGCAGTCAAGGGCGGATCTAGAACCATTTTTTTTTTGGGGGGGGGGGGGAAGGGCTCGAGTATTTAGTTTTTTCAAAAAGGGGAAGGAGATTAAGTGTGTAGTATTGTGTGCTATTTTCACATTGTAATATTCAAACGAACAGATGTGTGTAACTGATAGCTTGCGAGGGAGATCCGCAACGTTTTAATTTATTTCCTGGGGGGGATTGGATCTTTTTCGGGGGGGGGGGGTCGGGGGGGGGGCATGGCCCCGACCAGCCGTGATGCAAATCTGTCACCTTGAGACACCGTATTGGAACATACAATTCCCAAAGAAAATTATTTTTACATTACAAACAGTTCCTCAAATTTATTACAGCATATAATTAAACAAAATCCACAGCATACATAACACGTTACACAAGTTTCAACTATTGTATATGCCTCAGCGGCGATATGGACCCAACTCGCTGTTGTAACGCTGATAGTTTAATATTGACAGACGAGTATGTTTATCTTAAAAATAATTTCAGTGGAATAACAAACTGCATGTGAATGCATGGAACTTTCTGTTAGGTTGTTAGCAGAAAAAATCGCATGCTTTTGCAACCAACTAACGTTTTCGCATGAACACAGCCACAGTTCTAAACCTAAAGTGATTTCGTTCATCACATTTGCTACAAACGAAAACCGACAGGCTATGTTGTAAATATTCCAGAATTCCCGTTCATTTTGACAAAACAGTAAATTTATGTGATTATTCCCAGAGTAACCTAAATTGAAACGAAATCGTGTAAAAGTTGCAATAGTAACAAATTAAGAAAATTTGAAGTCCAAGTAAATGTTAACACCTTTTGTCCGACAAACTTGACAAAATACTGTCTAAATGAGACTTATGAGGTTTTCATGGTGGACATAAACAAATATATGGAAGGTTTGCGTTAACACCGTGTGAATATTATCTTTTTTCAGTTGTCTGGTTCTGAAAAGAACCAGTTGTCTTAACTCGACGTTTCGAACAGTGTGCTCTGTTCGTCATCAGGAGACCGTCTCTATCTTATCTCTGAAATACTGTTTCTTTAGTTCAAAATTACTATATACAAGACTATAATTATAAAGTTGCCATAAAAACATTTCACGAGTCCGATGCCAACTAAAATCTAAAATTTAAAGAAGCCGTCTGAAATGTGTAAAAAGCCAAACTGTTGCTGTTAATAAAAAGCTAAAAACAAAGAAAACTTTTAATAACAATGAAAACGTAATAGCTTTTAGCAAACGCGAATATACTGACTTTTCAGGGTAAACGTTGCTCCTTTCGAATTCAGTCGATTTAATCGATTTCTTTTTAGCTCTTTTTTTTTCTTTTCTTTTTTACATTAGGAAATCCTATTTTGGATATTTTGCATTTATGGAGTGTTACTATAAATGTTCTTGCAAACATTTACTTAGAGTTATTTAGGAAACAATTTAAAAAAGTGTTAAGCCTTCACAGAGGTAAATTCGTTAAAGTTTGTGCACAGTACTGTCCGCATGAATAATTGGAAGTTCCGAATATGGTGAAATAAATAAATATACATGTAAAACTTTCTTTAACTAAAAATATATATCATTACAATATTCTGCTATTTTCCGTAATTACGATTGTAAGGTTTTTGAGATACTTCCTGGAGACAAATAGCTCTTCATTGAATATAATACATACTAGGTTTAAGTTTTAATGCAGCTCAAATGGATTGAAGTAAGTTATGCACGCTCGTTTGTTTTAAAATCTTTGAAATAGAGAGATTTTGAATTCAATTTTTGAGCATCTTCAGTTGTTGATTTTGTTCCAAAATTGTCAATACATTGAGGTACTTTTTTTCTCGTTTATACTATGATAAATGAATAATAAATACTTGTTGAGGGAAGGAATGACGAACATTTTGTTTTTGTTTCTTTACACCTTTGGTGTTCAACCTTTGCCATTTTTACCCTGTTTAGTTTGCTTCCACGGCCTTTTCAAGCAACGTGGCTGTAGTTATGCCTCCTAAGATATCTAGCTGAGAGATGGTCACTCCCAGCTGATTCGTTGCCCAGTTCACCATCTCCAAGGCAACCAGCGAGTCCACGCCGTAGTTCACCATGGGCTGGCTGACGTCAATGGACTCCTCCGGCATGCACAGAAGTTCAGCCATCTTGGATTTGACTCTGGCTTCCAAGTCGGCAGCGTCAAGGCAACAAGCCTCTCCCTTTGAAGACTTGGAGTTGTGGGCTGCTAAGTGGTGGAATTTGAGCATATACTTGTGGCAGAACTGCTGTGTGGCTCCCCAGTCCTGATGGTAAGTGCAAAAAAAAAACATCCACATAAGTCAAACGCTTATAACCGTTCGGGTAATGTAACGAAAAAGACAAAGGTATAATACATTTGTATTCCTGTAATTTTTTCCCCAGCTTTGTGTTTAGAAGGTTTTTTGATAGAAAGTGCAAAAACGTTTGTGAAATGGGGGAAATATTATACAACAGCCCTTAAAACAATTCTTTGAAAAATCCAGTAGGGTTCAAAAACATTTTTTCAAGGGTTATTTGAAAGCAATTTCATTTATTCATGCATGCTTTGAGGTAAAAAAAACAAATTGAAGATTCTCCCGAATCCTCATCGATAAGAAATAGAACAATGTTTTAAAAAGGAGACAAATTATGATGAACTCACCTGGTTTGCTAGGCAGACGCATGGCAGATCCTTCCGTGGCAGCAGCTGACCCAGTACGTCAAGGAACTCGTCGACATAGAGCTGGTGGTTACCCTTCATGGCCAGAACTTTAACTGTCTGTCCCTTGTCCTCCAAGTACCCTGCTCCTCTGACGGGGGCCAGTTGCACTGAAAGTGCAGGAAGTCCACTTCTCTGTCGCTTCTCAGCCAAAGCGTTAAGGTAGGCATTAGCGGCGCAGTAGACAGGCTGTGCTTGATGACCCCAGGTGGTGGAGATTGAAGACAGCATGAAGAAGATGTCTAGGTCGTCGTCTTGAGTCAGTTCATGGAGGATTCTTGCGCCTGTTACTTTTGCACCAAGGATGCGGGACATCTGATTAAATGTCATCTCTGATAGGTCTTCCTCCTCGATGACTCCTGCTAGGTGGAAGATGCCTTTGACTGGAGGGACTCGCTTGTCATCTCGGAGCTTCTCAAACATCGCTGCTACGCTGTTTTTGCTGGAGATGTCAAGTGCAAACTCATAGAGGTTAACCCCATTGTGTTTCAGGTAGTTCACTGTTCTCTTTGCAGCTGCTGTCTGAGCCCCTCTTCGTGAGACGAGTACAATGTGCTTGGCACCGTTCTGGCAAAGCCATCTGGAGAGAGCCTGTCCAATGCCACCAAATCCACCGGTGATTATGTAAGTAGCATTGGGTGTGAACTGGTTCAATGATGGCTGTAGCTCCATTGGTTGGAAATCCTCTGGCACTTCAAAGACGATCTTACCGATGTGAGCGCCCTTGGACATCATTCGGAATGTTTCTTTGAGTTCGTTGATGGGATGGACTGTGACTGGAATTGGCTTCAGCTTCTCATTTTCAAACAGACGAACGACCTTCTGCATTATTTTCTTCACTACTGCTGGACGTTGCTTCATCAAGACATCTACCTGGCAGGAATTGAAGATCTTGTTCTCCAGAAAGAATCCCATACTTAGACTAGAGCTCTGCAGGATGTCCCTCTTGCCGATCTCACAGAATCGTCCACAAGGACCCAGCAGGGATATACCTGTGTGAAGCAGTTTACCGGACAACGAGTTCAAGACAACATCTACTCCCTCGCCATTAGTCCACTCCATGACGTCATCATAGAAACGAGAAGATCTAGAGTCGCTGACCATCTCTATGCCAAGCTGCTTCTGTAGATAGTTCCTCTTCTCCTCTGTACCTGCTGTGCATATGATCTTGGCTCCAATCATTTGTGCAATCTGAATGGCCGCTAGACCGACTCCCCCACAAGCTGAGTGAATCAAGACAGTTTCGTCCTTCTGCAGATTGGCTCGTTCAACCAGGCAAAGGTATGCAGTCACAAAAACCACACCAACACTTGAGCTGTCTACGAAGCTGAGATTGTCTGGTTTCGAGACAGTCAACCGTGCATCACAGATAGCATGGGAACCAAAACAGCTTTTACCGAATGCGATTACCTCATCACCAATTTTGAAGCCATGTACTCCCGATGCAACTTCTTCGACAACTCCAGCACACTCAAGACCGAATGATGGGTGTGTTTCACTCTCCAGTCCCTCAAGAAGACCAAGTGCCATCATGACATCTTTGAAATTGAGAGGAGCTGCCTTGACTCTAATCTTGACATGGCCCGGTGGGACTTCAAAATCACGAACATCGTGGAAGGCAAGATCATCAATGGAAGCCCCTTTACCTGCTTGACTTCTCAAATCCTGCTCCACGCGCCACTTCATAGACTGAATCTTGTTTTCAGTGTTCAGGTCTTGATGCATAACCCTGGGAACGAACCTCTCCTTTCCTCGGATCACAAGCTCTCGCTCACCAAGATCATGGTCATTCATCAGCTTGAGCATTTCATGGACATTTTCTACAAGAGAATTTTGGGGGTCAAAGTCTACAGAGAAAACAGGCACACTTGGAATCTGATTGCTGACAGCCCGGGTCAGACCAACTGCCAGAGAACTATTCGGAAGAGATGAATCCATGTTTCCTCCCTTTGTCACAACCCACATACGTTTGACAACTTCTGGGTATGACTCAACTGCCTGGAAAAGTTTCAACAGGGCGTGAAGCTTAGAGTCTTCGTCGCTGTAGATGTACATCAATTCCATTGGGGAATCAGTGTGCTCACTGAACACATGATCAAGAGACTTAGCCTCGGAGAAGTTGCTGATCAGGACTTCACCGTGGTAGTGAGGAAGGAACTCAGATGAGAACCTGTTGTTGCCATCTCGTACTATGAAGAGCTTGTCTTGCTGGATTATCCGTCTTTGATCCCGCTCTGAAACTGAAGGCTTTCTTCCAACAAACAAAGAATGGAAGAACTCGTTTGGTGAGGAAGCCGATGAGATATCTTTCAGACCAACCTTTTCCATGGTGTCCAACCAACCCTGGTGATGCAGCCAGCAACGCTCCTTTCGGAAGTCATCAAACACCCAACAGACATCCATAGCCCCAAACCAGAGTTCAGTCAGGTAGTGGGTGTTGGTTCCCTCCATGATGAACATGAGCCCATCAGCACTGAGTAGGTCGGTCATGAAAGCCGTGCTTCGCTGAACATCAACCGCTGCATGTAGGGTGTCCAAGCAGACTACGACATCAAAGCTGCCAGGAACAAACCCTTGGTCTTTGATTTCTTTCTCAATGTCTAGCTGTTTGTACTGGACGAACGGGAATTCTTGGAGATTTCCCTGAGCTTGCTGGAAGAATGTCGCACTCACATCTGTGAATACATACTCCATCTTCTTCTCAGTCCCAAAATCCTTCAGTGGATCAACGATGAAGCGAGTCAAACCTCCGATCCTAGCCCCAAGCTCCAGAACTCGGACAACATTCTTGTGCTTAGCAGCTTCTCGGACAGCCCTGACAACTGCTTCAGCTCCAGCTTTGTAGTAGATTCTTGTGCTGAGTGAATCATAGAAGTACCGGTCCAACCCTTCAGCGCAAAACATGAGAGGAACGGCAACTTGTGGGTCACGAAGAGTGTCAGGCAAGGCCTCACCAAGACTCTTAATCAGGCTAACCTCTGAGTCTAACTCAGGAACATGTCCCATGATCTTTTCCAACACTGCAGGAATATCTCTGTAATCGATTATTTTGCTTGTAGCATTTTCAGCGATGGCTTGGAAACGGTTGATGTACTTAGTGTAGCTCTTACCCTGTGCCCTTTCGGCAGGTGGGACTGTGTTAAGGGCATTTCGGATGTACGACACACACACACCCTCAACTTCATCAATTACGTCTTCTGCTCGAGCAACAGCATCCATCTCATCCCCATATGCCTCAAGCAGATTGCTTTCATCAAATACGTCTTTCAGAACTGATGTTGACAGTGTTTTGGCCGTTGCTGGTTGCCATTCGGTAGTGTAGATGCATGATTCGATAGGTACGTCTGACTGGCTCCCATTGAAGTTCTGCGCCCGGAAGCCCTTCATAGTTGCCAAGATTTTGCCTTGCTCAGTGGCCATGGTGATATCTGCTGTGAGAATCATACTGTCACAATCGATAATTCTGGTGTAGGCGATAATGGGTTGCCCTGATGGAATAGCCTCTCTGGATAACTCAAAGGAATCTATGTGCACTGGAAGGTACATTGCGCTGTTTGAACCCACAGCAGACAAAGCCAGTTGGAAAGTTGCATCCAGATGAGCCACTTGGACTCTCTGCTTGTTGTCAGGAACTGCATGCAGAACAGCAAGTGCCTCGCCATCACCTAGGAACATCTTCTCCACCATCTGGAAAGCGGGTCCGTAGCTGAGACCCAGGTCTTGGAGCCTGGAATAAAACTCCTCACCTATGACTTCAGTAGAGCACCTCTCTGTAATCTTCTCAAGAGGGAGACACTCTTCCACATCTGTTTTGCTGGAGACATCAATCTGAGCGTTGCTATGTAGATTGCCATCACAGGTAACCTGCATCGCTGTCCCATCTTTCACGAGCCCAAGCTTTAGGGTGCACTTTTTGGAGTCTGAGTCTTCCGGCCATGGTAGGACACGGGTGAAGTTTATGTTCTTTAGAGCCGGCTTTTCAGTTTCCACAAAACTCATCTGTGTCATGTACTCGATGTAGCCAGCTCCAGGGAATACGATTCTCTCACCCACAACGTGATCAGCCAAGAAGGGGAACATCTCTAGGGAGATGTTACCACTCTGTCCTTTGAAGGTACGGTCATCCAAACCAAGGCGACGCTTCTGTCTCTCCTCTGTCTCCAACCAGAAAGACTGGTGCTGCCATGGATATGTTGGAAGCGGTGCCCACTCACCTGATTCATGAGTTATTGCAGCCCAATTTAGAGGAACTCCATTTGTATAGAGGGTTCCAACTGCTCTTTGGATACTCTGCAAATCATCTTTATCTCGCAGGCTAGAGTTGACGGTGATGGGTGGGTGTTTGGGATCCAAACCACGGGCAATCTGTTTTACCGAGGACAACAGTGTATTTGAGGCTGCAATCTCAAGGAAGACATCTGCCTTTGTCTCCTGCAGAACAGCTTCAATTGCAGGCTGGAAGAGTACTGCACCTCGGATGTTGCTCCACCAGTAGTCAGTGCCAAAACTGCCGTCGTAGTATTCGCCTGTCACAGTGGAGTAGTAGGGTACATCTCTCTTGCCAAGTTCACTTTTGACCACACCTTCCATGCCTCTGGAAAATGGCTCCTTGATTGGATCCATCTCCGGTGTGTGGAAGGCACAAGTCACCCGGAGCTGCTTGGCCTTTCCAGGATTTTCCTCAACCACAGCGGCTATTACATCTCTGTTGCCAGCTAGAGTGATTGCACCAGGTGCATTGACTGCTGCAATGTAGAGATTCTGGTGCTCCTGACAGATCTTCTCTGCCTGTTCTTTTGTAGCTCGCAGTGCAGCCATTCTACCTGTTCCCTCTTGCTTTGCCTGTTCGTGGCTTCGGTGATAGATTACAGCCACGGCTTCCTCTAGGGTCAGGCCACCACTTGCATAGGCTGCAGAGATCTCACCAAGGCTGTGCCCAACAACAACGTCAGACTGTACTCCCCAGTGCTGCCAGAGATGGTAGAGTGCGACCTGGATGAACATGATGGCGGGCTGGATGACTTCTACTTGACTGAGTGCGTTGTTTACAGATGTGTAGGGAGAGGTGTCTGGATTGATTGGATGGCTGTTGAATAAGCCACAGTATTCGAGCAGGGACCATCCGGACATCTTTTTGAAGATCTGATCGCAAGTATCAATGCTGTCCCTGAAAACCATCTCATCTCTGTAGAGCTTGCGGCCCATGTCCTCCCACTGCTGCCCTTGGCCAGGGAAAACAAAGCAGACCTTTGGTTTAACTTGGGGAGCTGTGCCAGTCACAACAGCTTCCGATCCAGAACCTTGAAGAAATCCCTCCAGGCTCTTTCTAAAGGAGGCTGTAGACTCGGCAATGACAGTCATCCTGTACGTGTGATGGTCTCTCCGAGTTGCCTGCCATGATGTCACGCTGAGGGCATCATTGTCGCAGTCGAACTCCAACCACTTCTTTGCAAGATCGTTCAGAGCCTCTCCAGATTTTGCAGACAGCGGCAGGATGATTGGGCGTCCAACACTATCATCACCTAACTTCCAGCCAGCCGATGCTGTCTGCATGGCGCTTTTGTCTGCTTTTGGTCTCTTCTGGAAGATCATGTGAGCAACTGCACCTGCGAAGCCAAAGCTATTTAGGCCAACTGTGTAGGTGTCATCTGTGTCTTTTGCACTAACACCAGGGTTGGTGTCCAGCGGCTCCAATTTTGTCTGGACCTCGAGGTTGAGTTCTTGAAGGTCAATGTTGGGGTTGGCATTGGAAAAGTTGATGGTAGGAACCAGCATATTCTTCTCCAACATGAGAGCCACTTTAATGGCAGCTGTGATCCCGGCAGCACACTCGCTGTGCCCGAAGTTGCTCTTCACGGATCCAATTTTGACTGGGGTGTCTTTAAGTTGGCCAAAGGTACGCCCGATAGCACTTGCTTCGATGGGATCGCCTACAGGAGTTCCAGTCCCGTGGGCCTCCACATACTGAACAGACGATAGTGGAACTCCAGAGCGTGCATAGGCTTTCTTCATCACCATCTCTTGGGCGGGAGCTGAGGGCATTGTAAGACTCTTGCTGAAACCATTTGCTGCGATGGCACTTCCTCGGATGACGGAATAGATATGGTCGTTGTCTGCTAGTGCCATGTCAAGTGGTTTTAGGATGAAGACGCCAAAGCCCTCGCTTCTTACGTAGCCCTTGGCCGTGTCAGAGAATGGACAACACTTCCCCTCAGGAGATAAGACGCCCAAAGCACTGAAACCAACCGTAACCTCAGGAATGAGTAGACTGTTGCAACCTCCAGCAACAGCAGTTGTACATTCGCCATCCCAGATAGCATTGCAGGCACTGTGCATAGCTGTCATAGACGAAGCACAGGCGGTGTCAATTACATAGGAGGGGCCACGGAGATCGAAGGCGTAGGAGATGCGATTGGCGACGGCAGAATGTGCTACACCCGTGTGAGTGTAAGGGTTGATGAGTGATGTCTCCATCAACATAATGGGGTAATCCATCATGCCAACACCGATGTAGACACCGCAGGATTCTCCCAAGGTGCTGGGGATGATTCCTGCATCCTCAAAAGCCTCGTAGGTGACCTCAAGGATGTGGCGTTGCTGGGGGTCCATGGAGCTTGCCTCACGAGGTGAAATCTTGAAGAAGGTGTTGTCAAACTTGTCTATGCCATGGACGAAGCCACATCGTCTCGTCACCATCTTGCTGTGGTTGGACTGGTCAGGATCATGGAAGGTTTCCAAGGACCATCTGTCTGGAGGCACTTCACTGATCATGTCGTCACCCCGTACCAAGGCATCCCAGAATGCCTTAGGTGAGTCGACACCTCCGGGCATGCGGCACCCTGCAAGTAAACAACGTCAAAAAATTGTTACAATGGTTATACTTTTATTTTATTGGTAAGCAAACATTTCTTTTTATTATTTGATTTAATTTACTGAGTACATTTTTAAAAATATTTTCAAATATTTTTCATTAGCGATCCCTGGTTCTGGCTTGTACGAACAAAGAGACATGTTCATGTTTTGAGGTTGAAATCCTGATATTGCTTAGTTAGTTATGTTGTTTTTACCTGTTAAAGAGCGCGTAATGCATGTTCCGGGAATGTAACAAGAATCAAATAATTTAACAAGCGTTCATGAAGTGGGTTCGACTAATTTCCAATATGCAATCACACAGGGAAATAGTTTGAAATTTAACTAATATCATGTTAACCATAACAGTCCTTTTCCAATTACACGGTTAATTTAATTGCTCTGGTACAGAAACAGTTGTTTCCTACATACAGGGTGAGTCAAAAAAAGCGGAACCCAAACCCCATAAAATATATTGCATATTAAAAAAAATATGTAGCACCAAAAATAATAATGACTGGAAAAGCCAATTTCATAAGCTACTTTTAGATGAGAAAAATACTGAAATTGCTCAATCTGTTCAAAAAATATCACCATTTAAACACAATGACCCTAAAACCTGTCCTAAAGCTATTCATTGTGTGTTTTGACTGTTTGGAATAACAAAGAAAATGACACAGAATACTAATTGTTTCAACAACTGTCACCACCTGTAGTACACAATATCTTTATTAACAACCCTGGTTAGGCAAACAATATGATTTATAAAATCTACTTTTTTTTAAAGGACAGGCTTTCAAAGGGATTCTGTTGAATATTTATAACGTTTAAACTGAGATTTTATCGCTGGTGATGTTTGAAGACCATTGCGACGACGATTCTTGAAATCGCATTTTTTTTTGGACGAGACAGGTTTTAGGGTCATTGTGTTTAAATAGTGATATTTTCTCAACGGATTGATCAATTTCAGTATTTTTTTTCATCTAAAGTAGCTTATGAAATTGGCTTTCCAGTCATTATTATTTTTGGTGCTACATATTTTTTAAAATATAGAATATAATTTTTGGGGTTTGGGTTCCGGTTTTTTTTTACTCACCCTGTACAATCCATAATGTGCTTATGACAATGGGCTTGATGTTCAAATCAAACCCCGAAATCGCCCAAACAAATCAAATATGCATGATGTAACGATGACATCAGACGTGCATGTTCTTAAAAACGAGATTTGATTCTCTGGCCAAAAAGGTCAAGGAGATGTTCAGTGTGTAAACAGTTGATTTTCTTGTTAATTTATCCATGCCTTGAAGCGCTATTAATTTACTCTCGATATAATTTCCAACCAGTCACAGTGCTAAGACACTATGTGCGGGACAGACTTTGCCGTGTATCTTCTCCTAATAAGACAGTTTCCTTTATTATTTCCTCCTTTAAGTAATGCCCGCGTGCAAGCTTTGTCGGGTTGTATGGGCTGTTTCGGGTTATACAGGGTAAAGAAACCCAAATGGCAGGACCAATTATCTAATGAAGTTCTGCATGTAGCACTTTCAAAATGTAGGATAAGCCCAATTATTTTTTTATTACAAGAATCATTCAAGTCACTCATGTACTTTTCAAGTTACGGAATTTCGAACACAACACCGTTTTAAAGTTCTGTCCACGGATCACAAAAATGGTAAGTGTTTTTTTTTTCAGCAAAACGAAAACAATTCACTCACATCCTAGATTTTGAAAGTGCTACATGCAGAACTTCATTTAAAAAAAAATGGTCCTGACATTTGGGTCTCTTTTTTTTTGGAACTCACCCTGTACCCATAATTGCATTGTATGAAACTTTCTGAATCTCACACTCACCAATGCCAACAACTGCTATGGGGGGTTTAGCCGCAGCCGACGACCGTTCCATCTTTGCTGAACCCGAGGACTGTTCCATCCTTACCGGTTTGCTGTGCATCTTGATGTCTCGGTGTTGTCTCGGTTTCGATGAAATCCCGTCTGAATCCCGTTGCTCAATAAATAGGGTACGTTGAAATAAATAAGCTGAATTGTCCTGTAAACGAAAAAAATATGGAAAAACATTTTTTTTAGTACACAGCACACACCGTATTTTTGAATGAAAAAGAAGAAGACAAATTCAGAATTTTAAAAGGAAACGTAATGTTACACCATATCTTGCCCTTCAGGTCTTGTGTGGTGTAAAGCGTCAATATGGGAAGCTGTTCCGTGTTGATCTTTGACGGTTTAGAAAACGTGGGACCTGTATAAGTATAACTTTCCTATATACAGAAATGGAATTTCAATTTCTGTCTAAAGAGTTTTGCTTTATTGGAGGCCGTCGGGCTGTTTCTGTTCAGCTTAATAGGGTCATATCAAAGGAAGTTTCATTCAAATTCGATGAATCGTTTTAAATCGTGCTGAAAACACAGTTCTGGATTCACAATAATCATTGTTTTTTTTATTCAATGAATTATTCGCGATTTTGAATAGATATTTACGACATGTAAATCTTGCGACGTCCTTTTGAATGGAGGAGAAGCGATAGGGACTAAATCACGCATATCGATTAGGTGGAGTTAGAAGGCCATGGTTTTGTATGTTAAGGAGAATACACGAGAAAGTGTGGATTCGTAATTTAAGAATTCACGAGGCGCGAAGCGCCGAGTGAATTCGTAAATTAAGAATCCACACTTGCGAGTGTATTCTTCGACTTAAACCATTGTGTTAAGTATTGGCATTAACAGTGAGTGGAGATGAAAAGACTTGGGATAAATGTTGCAACCTGACGCCACTTCCGCGATTGTGTACAATTAAAGTGTATGGAGAGTCAAGAATTTTTTTAAAGTATTTTCTAACAAAATTGGAAATATTTCATAGTCCCAGATTCATGTCTTATCATCATTTTTGCAGTGAATGTCATTCATTGAGATGGTATATGGAGAAAAAAAGTGGCGTCAGGTTGCAACATTTGTCCCGGCTCTTTCCGTCGACAAATTGATAGTTCAGACGATGATTTCTCTCTGACTCGAAGTAGGTTTTGCAGTAACGGCGGAGAATCTGAAAGTGAAGATGCATTGGTAATTTTGGAAGGAAATTTTCACGCATACGGTCCTATTAATGCTCATTATAGAGAACAATTATCCGACGCGTTCAAAGTGTGGATTCGTAATTCCGAATCCACACTTTACTAAAGATTCTTCGTTCCGAATCCACACTTTGTGACCAGCGTAACAGATTCGTAGTTCCGAATTCACACTTTTAACAATAGTGTGACGTCATAGCAATGGTTTAATGCTAGGATAGGCAATTAGACATGACGTTAGCCTGTTGTGCATTCGTTGTTATAATAACTTAAAATAACACATAATATACTCGGAAACACCCGCAACGCATACATACACAGAATTGGTAAAATATTGTTAAATACAACATTAAAATTTTCTTTTCTTGATATAATGCAGCAGGTGTTTTTTTTTTCTGATGGGATTTTTCGAAGTAGAACCTTTTTACTTAAGAAACAGGTACATGTGTTAATCTGCCAATAAAAGCAGATAATGTTCCATCGAATGGCTCTGCTCAATGATACTGCTCCCATGCTGACCAAATTTAGTTCTGTTTGCAATCGGTTACATATCCGTAAATAGAACTATGATCTTCTCGAGTGACAACTGGGTGCAAGTCAAAACGTGTTAGGCCTAATGAACGTTTCGGATGGAAAGGCTTTTACATTGGTTTATATTGACGAAAACAAATTCAAAACTTTGGAAGAAATATCATGATAGACTTTCTTTTTAATAAAACGGTAGCTTCAGATATTTTTTCTCGCCAACTTTGAACATAGGCCGTAAGTTGAAAATTCTCAGCCTCTTTCTTTTTCCAAACATCAGACGGCTGTTGGAAGTTTGAGCCCCAAAAAATGAATGTTTCAGATTTAATGGCTTTTTTACAACGTATAGAAATCACATTAGCTAAACAGGAAACAGTCGTATATTTATTGCCAATGTTTATTGTGTGTGCAGCACGAATGTTTATAATGCAAGTTGTAATGTGCTTTTTCCTCAACATTTGCAAAGCCGTATGAAGTTACCACGAAGGAAATACTGTCCATTTACTGTACAACCAAAATACAACTTGCCCAGCGGAACTGAACTCAAATTCAACGGACAGTTGGGTTAATTGCCGGGTCTGAGAATACCACGGAAGGCCTATTACTTCCGATGATTGGGGATTTCTCTATGAACCATCCTGTTCCTTTTGTTTTTGTTTTTGTTAAAGAAGGCACATGTTAGCCCAGTAGTATCAGTGGACTTTAGTGGACCACATAAAATAATTACAGGAATTTCATAGCCAATCCGAACACGAAGCAAAATATTTCTAGTATCGATAAAATTGTCATGTATTTCTAGTTTAACCTATCACACTTCTTTCTCAGCGTGCCGGGCAGATTTAGGCATGTCATATCCTGGGCTAAATATGCGGTTTGGAATTTAAATAATTAAAGATCGACTTTCTTGCATTATATCTATAAGCCAAATCTTTTCCGTAATTTTGAGAAAAATATCTTCTGAATTTCATACAAAAATATTTTGCTGTTTGTCATTGATGTGATGGAGGTTTAAACTTTGGCTCATGGACTTCAGCATAATGCTCCGCGTCGAGAAAAACAAAGATTTAGTTTCACAGTTTTCTCGGGAAGTATGATATCATTTTATGATATCTATACTGAACTTAATTTTTCGACAGGTTAGTGTTATAATAACTGCTTCGGATTGGTAGTGATGCTGTTCATAGAACATTTACATTGTTTTTGCAAACGGTGGCATTATATACTTTAGTTGGCATGATTTCCACTTTTTTCTTCGAAAACGAGGATATTATTTACAATGGAACTTCCGCAAGGAAGGATCAAGATATTATAAACGACATGATACCCTGAGATATAAATTACATGATACTGATACCCTTTAGTGAAGAAAAGAGTAAAGGGGCAATAATGCCAGGACTTATCGCAGATCCCTCCGTGTCTGAATTTTGAAACCTCAGACTTTAGTGTCGGGAATCATAACATTTTCCAGGAAGAATTCCGTAGTAATTTCAATATCTGAACGTTGCATCAATCAGTGGTCACGGATCATCAGTCATAAAAACTATTTGATGGGGCACGTGACCCTATCCCTACCCCCCCCCCCCCAAAAAAAAGACGTCCGTGCCCCGGGTGCCCCCCACCTGCATTTAAATTCTTGACAAAAATATATTACTTGCCTTCAGTGTTCCCCCCCCCCCTGAAAAAAAGTATGCATCCCGGGCGCCACCTCAGCTAGTTAAACCCTAGTTACATCACTGCCTGTAAGCTAGTGCTGATTACACTTTATCTCGTAATTAAACTGGGTTCAATTATGAACGTAAAATGTGGCTCTTCTGCTATAGTTCATGGATCGTGGTCCACAATAATTAGGTATAATTATGGTGTTAAATTATTGATAGACGCTAATTAGGCAAATGGTTGCGAGACTTGAGGGTTAAATTACGTTTAATTTATCAAATGCAACAGAATTGGAGAGACACGCGCATATTGGCGACAGTGTTTCGTTTCACTTTTGTTCTTCTCCTTGGCAGCCCTGCACTGTCCACGCTCTGTCTTTCGTGTGTAGTGTTTACTTGGTTTCTTATTGTTTGTATATCCCTTTCTTTTAATATCAAATTTTATTGTAATTGTGTGTATATATGTCAATTTGCCGAATAAAATATTATTATTATTAGAATTAAGGATGTCTTACACAAGACTATTAGCGACCTACATGTAAGTTGCATGGTGGTAATACACTCAACCAAAAAAGAAAGGCCCCCCCCCCTTCCAATACTTTTTTGTCTAACTCAAAAACTACTGAACACCTCTCGCTCAAATAACGACTTATCAGTACAGAAATTCCTTAGCAATCCAGCCATACTCTTTATTTGGCCCAAAACAGTGATAATGTTATACGAATTTTTGCAATTTATGACAACTGATACCGGAAACAGTTGCACTTTTGTATACGCGCAAGTTGTGGTTCACACTCGCCTTGCACGTAGGCCTATACAAAAAGTGCAACTTTTTTCCGGTACCATTTGTCATAAATTGCATAATTTTGCAGACATTATCACTCTTTTGGGCCAAACAAAGAGTATGGCTGGATTGCTAAGGATCAGTCGTAATTTGAGCAAGATGTGCCCAGTAGTTTTGAGTTGGACAAAAATGTTGGTTGAGTGTATATATGTCAAAAGCTAAAAAAAACAAAAGAACTCAGTTAAGTAAAAATAGGATTTCTATACGTGAGTAAAATTGATTATAATTAAGGAACGGCTATAGTGACAAATATCTGTTTCAATGTCAAGAAGAAGAAAAATCCAAGGAAAAATATACCATTCAGGATTAAAAGCTGATTCAGAAATAAAATGATTCTGATGTGGGAAAGAAAGTTTTCATTCGATGTATTGCTCCAAAATTACGACTGATGATTGGACACAAGTATTCTCTGTAATTTCCAAGACATTCTCGAGAAACAAACCTCGAAATTTGGTACCACAATTTTTCGTGATAGCTGAATTATCAACAATCGCACTTATTTAAATTTCAACTGTGCAGCGCGATTGCTGGACAAACTTGTTCATCAGTTTTTCTGACATAATTGGCCAGTTGAGTGTTTTTGTTTTTGTTTATTCTCGTAGGACCAGACCGCTTAATTGGCGTGGCAGTCCTCACACAGTACCACATTGCTCAATCATGCGGAAATCACAGGAAGGAGAGAATTAGTTTCAACACCAATTTGTAAGTACTTCATTGATTACAACCAACACTATATGCATTTCCCGTGCTCTTAGTGTCGTCCTGAAAAATAGATTTCTTTTCTAAATAAGGCCGAATAAAAAAAACATGTTTCTCGTCCGGGTTTTTGAAAAAAAGGAGGAAGAGTGGCTTTTTTTATATTTTTCATTTTTTTCAAGATGGTCGCCATTTTGAAATTTCCTGCAATCGTTGGTGTTTCCACTGTTCAAAGACACTTTTGAAATGAAAGACAAGTTGGACAAGAGAACTGAACATATTTATAGTGTCATTTAGAGTTGTATTGGTCTACAATGAACAGTTTTAGATGCATTTGGGCAATTCCAAGCAAACAGGGACATGACCCAAAAAAATCACACCCATTCCTGAACTTTCTTTTCATTTTGAAGTTATTGCTTATAGATGTAAGGACCAGGATATAAACTTTTTTAGTCAAAGCTTCATCGTTTTCTATGAAATATGTCACCTTTCCTCCTGGTGATGTTTGGCTTATAAAATGTACTACTTCATGTGCATTTTCATTTGTTTGCATATTTTTCTTGGAAAAAGAATTAGTCACAAACCTATTATGCAATTTAGTAGTATGACTTTATACCTTAAAAACAATAAAATAAAAATCTGCCCATGACTTTTCTTGAAGACATGCAGGTGCACAGCTGTGGACGCTTAGCCACATGAAATGCGAGTGACGAAAAGATCTCTTTTTTATTATTATTTTAAACAGGTAGTGATTATATTGCTGACAATTGATAATTTGCTTCTCCCACCAATACCAAGTATAAAAACAACAAGTATTTACACCAAAAACCCAGCACAATATAATAGAGAGCCCTTGAAATTTGAAATGCGAGTGACAAATGAAATGCGAGTGACAAATGAAATGCGACTGACGATATCACTTTCAATAATAAGAATACAGACAGAGAAGCTCTGAGATAGTAATATTGAGGGAAGTGCATAGTACATGCACAAAGTACGCATACTGTCTTAGACCTATAGAAGGCAGGTATCATTTGTGGTACCCATGATGCATTGTATCTCCATAGGAACAGTTCCAAGTTTTATTTCTATATGAACAGTCTGACCCTACACGAATAGAACTTGTAAGTTAACTGTTGAAAGTCAATTTTGGTGAAATAATTCATGCTCCTGCTGCTAAGGTTGTGAGTTCATTCAAATAGTACATGAATGGATGAACACAATTGATTTTTTTTATCAACTTAAGCATGGGACTGCAGAAACTAGAGAGCTAGCGCCTTTGCGGCTGCGGATTACTAAATTACAGTAAATGTGTAAATATTTCAGAAAACACTTTTTTTTTTCATTGTAATTAATATTTTGAGTCTTTTTAAACAACTTTGTAGGTTGTTTGAAAAGAAAAAGCCCAGATTTGATAAGAATTGTGAAGGAAAAGCTTCATTTTGTTCACAACTTCATTAATTAACTTAAAATACTTTTTCATTGCAATTAGTATTTTGAGCACACTGAAAAGGTTTATAAAGGTTGTTTGAAAAGACTTAGCTAAGACTTGATAAGAATTGTGGAGGAAAAGCTTCATTTTGATTATAACTTAATGAACGGACAAACTGAAATGCGAGTGACGGAAATGCGAGTGACGGCACTTTTCCCCTCTAACTTAAATACAGTTAGTTGTTGAAGATATTTTGTTACCCTCATTTATACTTCAGTATGGTAGGTATCTAGTACATATAACCATTTGGTTGTGTACATTTGGTTTGAGGAGACTTTTCAGTTAAAACCAAGACAATTTTAGGCATGTCCTTTTCACGAAATGCGAGTGACGGTTTTTTCCAACAGTGCCATGCTCATATTTTGCATCATTAAACTTTCATAATTCCATAGGGTTAAAGCCTTATATATTGAGTATTTCCAAACTAAAAATGAAAGAGTAATTCTCTTTTTTGTAAAAAGTACACCACTAAGAATAAGATTGAAAAAGGATGCAAAAAAGTGAAATGCGAGTGACGCTGGAATCGCCCATCTGCTTTAACCGTGGACTTATTCGGTGTTTTGTACGGCATTTTTCAAAAATAAAAAATAATTTAAAAATCCAGGCGGCCTCCAAAAAGGAAGCGGGCGGGGACGAGAAACATGGTCTTTTTTTTTTAACCTCGCTTAATAGCTATTTTTCTAGCAATGCAAAATTAATGTCATTCATTTTTGACAAAGAGTCATCGACCGAATAAATCCGCCAAAGTTTATTGAATTATTACTTTACAACTTTCATACTTGCGACCCGACAATAATCCCGTTCTCGCGGGGTAGGCTGGTTCCCGCCCCACATATAAGTAGAGTACGGACCGGGAACCAGTCTGCTCGTATTGGCGGCTCTCTTTTGTGGCCAAGGTGTTCATTGAATCAAGCATTAACATTTGTTCAGGCTAGCGTCACAATAGATCACAATATTTAATAAAACCTAAGATATTTTATTACAAAAAAAACTAGGGGGCCCAGAGAGCGTACCCTCATTGAAGAATAGGCAGCGCTGTTTTTTTGTCTTTGGCAATGAGAGTAAATTTATTACCACAAATGATATATTAGTGGGGCAACTAGTACGACCATTGTGCTCTATCCGAGAAAATAATTTCGCTGTAGCTAGCATTAGTTGTACATGTAGTTGGAAAACAGATTAATTAGCAAATTCGTAGCCCAAACAGTGGGCTGAATTGAGATTAAAGGACTGAAGTCCAAACGTAACAAGTAGGTCAGTGACGTAAATACTGTAAAAGGTTCAGGTTTCTGCAAAACGTAGGACGGCCTTTTGCAGTTCAAGCAGAGCTCAGACCTACAAAACTGAAACACTTTTTATAGCCCTGTTTGGTATACCATCTCTGATACAAATTACAGGCCTTAGGTTGGATTTGTATACAATGCCAAAACATGAATTAAAAATATACAGCCCTTTATACAGCCCTATCACAGAAGCAATATTTCATAAAACATATTAAAATGTACTTTACCTGAACTTGCGACAGATGACTCGGTCAGCTGAATAATTATTGTAGAATACTCCGCTGTTCTCCAGTTAATGTAAGATCGGACTGGAAATCTCCACCAGCCTTTCCTCGATTGTCTTTCTGTCGAATAATGATAGGAACAACAATTCTCGCGCCTTTTTAAAATCTCCAGAATGAAGCAGACTGCACAACATGTGCGAGCTTCTTGACCAATCAGAGCCGACATCCTCCGAGCGCGTTCACCAGCGATCATTTTGATTGGTTGTCGGTGAGGTCATGCTTACCTGGTAGGACAATCCCTCGTGTCATGTGTCAGCCGCAGCTCGTACGTTTTGTTTTATCACTCCGGTTGTTCCGGTTTACTGGTAATAGCACCGTGGTCTTGGCAGGTCAGAGTCCATCGGTCCGCTTTGGAATTTTCCCGGGTTCGCGCTGTAAAAGTTTATAAATCACATGTTGTTTCGTAGAAAAACCTCAGCTTTCGTACCAACTCCGCCCTAATCTGGCCTATTCCGCCCAAATGTCACCACAAGATTATTGTACACTCTTTGAGAACCTTGTGGATACTGTTCGATCTTCTTTCCTCTCCAAACACTGAGTATTTTCAATCTTAAGACTTTATGAAGAGAGATATACGACGAAATTACCTCAAATAGTATTATGATGTTTCCATCGATATTCCTCAGTGTCAAGGTGACATTTTACCAGCACGGCCTTACAGATTCAACTACGTTTATTTCCAGGGGAAAATTATACAAATACATCCTCCGAGCGAGTTCACCAGCGATCATTTTGATTGGTTGTCGGTGAGGTCATGCTTACCTGGTAGGTCGTTCGGGTGCTGGGACTATCCCTCGTGTCATGTGTCAGCCGCAGCTCGTACGTTTTGTTTTATCACTCATGATGTTATGTAACACTGTTCCGGTTTTCTGGTAATAGCACCGTGGCCTTTGCAGGTCAGAGTTCATCGTTATCGCGCACCCGTACCCGCCGGGCCGGGTCCGCTTTGGAATTTTCCCGGGTTCACGCTGTCAAAGTTTATAAATCACATGTTGTTTCGTAGAAAAACCTCAGATTTCGTACCAACTCCGCCCTAATCTGCCCTATTCCGCCCAAATGTCACCACAAGATTATTGTACACTCTTTGAGAACCTTGTGGATACTGTTCGATCTTCTTTCCTCTCCAAACACTGATTATTTTCAATCTTAAGACTTTATGAAGAGAGATATACGACGAAATTACCTCAAATAGTATTATGATGTTTCCATCGATATTCCTCAGTGTCAAAGTGACATTTTACCAACACGGCTTTACAGATTCAACTACGTTTATTTCCAGGGGAAAATTATACAAATTTGTGTGAGAAACAACGATGGAAAACGTACATTTGGTTTAAACAAAATAATGTAGTCGGTAAAATTTCAAACTTTCAGGAATAATTGGGTTTTTTTTGTAATTCAACAAACACAACAATGTTCTCGACAATGTCCACATCAGCTGGCAGGTTTTGAATATTAATGCTTTGTGATATTAATAACTTCTTGTCAAGTTGATTTTCTCAACATTCAACAAATATCAGCCCCGTCTCCTCTCATGAGAATACCGTGAAACCGTATACTCGTGATCAGTAAAACCTCAAGGGAACAGTGAATTTGACTTCAGCAGAGTTTTGAGTTAAGCAGGGTTGTATATCATTGTTAAACTACTGAAGGCAATGGATTCTTTGCTTGACTAAACAGTTATTTTGAGTTATCATAGTTTGACTTATCGAGATTTCACTGTATTGGTTAAAATGACACTGAAAACATGACGCATCGAGAATTATGATGTAGCTACAATGATTTTATATTTTCTGCATGCGTGCTTCCTACCAATCGGTATTTTCTGTTAAAATTATCTTGTTGATGAAAAAACAAACAAATATATTTTACATGTATATACATTTTTTTTCTAATATAAGGATTAAATATCTGTAGATCAAGAACATTTTTTTTGAGTACTTAACCACGTCAAATAAAATTGGTTCCAAATAAAATAAACTAACAAGTGGACAATCTCCAGATTTGTGTTCGTTTCATTATAATTTGCACCACCGGCATGCCCAATCGCAGGCAGCTTTTTGATTGTTTTTCTGACCATTTCAGTCAATTAAAGCGGAAGACAGAGAAACAACTGTTTACTCTGTCTAACAGCATTTTTTTTGTACAGGGTGGTGCAAAAAGAAGGAAACCCACTTTTAACTGGAATTTTAACCTGTTTTGTTTTCGTAATGTAGTAAAACATAGCTCTTTATTCCTCCATGCTTCAACCAAACGTGCATGGTGAAAAAATCTTTGAAAAAAACGGCAAGAATAGCGTTATTATGCTAATTTGAATACAAGTCACCAAAATCGCTGTTGTCATCGCGTAAGTCAACGCGGATGGAATAAAGACGTCCGTGGACAAAAAGGTTTGGCACATGAAATTTTTAAAGTACCATATCTCAGAGACGAAATATGCGTTTGCAATATTGTTTTCGTCACTTATGTTTAAAGATACTCTTTTTAATACCAGTAAATTGAATTTTTGAAATATGCTTAACAAGTAGGTGAAAATTGCAGTCGAAAATGAGTTTCCTTCTTTTTGCACCACCCTGTACACTGCAAAAACTGCAGTGTTAAATTTACACCATTGGTATCTATATAGGACCATCTGGTGTTAAATTTTACTGGTGTTGTCCTATTTGGATACCAAACGGTGTTAAATTAACACTACAGTTTTTGCAGTGTAGGTATAAACAAAGTCCCAAGATCTAGCAAGAAATGGCTGGAATGAAATCGCTGTCACGCGTCACGGTGAAGAATTTATGTCTCCAGCAGACAACCACGGAAGGCGGATAGTGCCACTCAATGAGTGTGAATATATTTTTTTGGTACGTGTGAAAATATTTTTTTGTACAGCGGCCGCCACTTATTATGACGACTTATGTGGCGGCCGCCACCTAATAAGTGGCGGCCGCTGTCACGCTCACGCTCACCCAAAAATATATTCACACTCATTGAGTGGCAATATCCGTCTTCCGTAGACAACGGCAACTGTACTAGTTTATTCCAGCGTGCGCCTGTACTGTGTAGGCCGACATCATCTACGTGCGTTTATGAGCGTACCAACAATATACACGTGACTGTAGCGAGATCAGACTGCTACTATTTAGCAAGTCTGGTGACATCGATGTCGTTGCCATAGCAACACACGCGCTAAAATTGGTCCCATACCCATACCACGATCGGGGCAACGACCTTAACTGTACTTGTCAGTTCCTGCATTCATGTTAAACCAGCAGCAAGGCCTGAATCTTGTTTACATCCGGGTTTTTTATGTTTGATTATAAGACACGGTTTATGTACGGTTTACCTCCCGAGTGAAAGTTGGGGGGGGGGGGAATCACTCGGGTGGGACTCGAACCAACGACCTCCTGATTTTTAGTGCAGTTTTACCACTCGACCACCGAGCTTACTTATGTGTTTACTTTCTTAGAGTTTAATAGGCACTCTCCTGAAGACGGTCAGAGCATACTGACCGGTACGTCGAGTTTATACCTCTGGTTCTTTTCAGAACCATTCTCGTATATGTTTCAGAAATTATTCCCATATGGTGTTTCCGCAAACTTTCATACATTGGTATCTCCACTACGCAAAGCCTCAAATCTTACACTTAAAAACATCGGAGATTAATTTTAGGCCTACTTCCGCATTTAGCGATTGCAAATTTTTTACCGTGAACTTTTTTGGGTCTGTTAATGTTTATTAATTATTGGTACGTCCATGTGTCGTGAATAAAAAAGGGCATGCTGGCCAAATTGGCCGCGAAATGTGTAAACAGGACGAGTCAAAAAAAGCAAAACCCAAATGTCGGGACTATTGTTTTTGTGAAGTTCTGCGTGTAGCACTTTCAAAATACTAGGATATGAAAGCCCAATTCATAAGCTTTCTTTTTAGTAGGCCCCCTACAAGAATCATTCAAATCACATATATACTTTTTAAGTTACTGAATTTTAAACACAACAACCGATTTGAAGTTCTGTCCACAGATCACAAAAAGCTGTGTTCTTTCAGCAAAACGCAAACAATTTACATAGGGTCTACGGATTTGTTTTCTTTTTGCTGAAAGAACGCACACCTTTTTTTTGTGATCCATGGGCAGAACTATAAAACGGTGGTTGTGTTTAAAATTCAGTAACTTGAAAAGTACATAAGTGATTTAAATGGTTTTTGTACTAAGAGAAAGCTTACGAATTGGGCTTTCATATTCTAGATTTTGAAAGTGCTACATGCAGAATTTCAATAAAACAACAGTCCCGACATTTTGGTTTCGCTTTTTTTCAACTCACCCTGTATTTTGCAGAGGCATTGCAGCCAACTCGGCAGGGCATGTGACCATTGGCCGCGGTTATTGTCGAGGCCTGCCGTAGAATGACAGAAGCTGTAATTTCCAAGGAAAAGATTAAACAAACGGAGAAAGGAATTATGGCTTACCAAACAAAACAGCAAAACTCAAGAACAAAGTTACACTTTTTCAAACAAATTGAAACAAAATGTTACAAAATGGCTTTATAAAAGGACAAAACTTCGACCAGATTGAAGACAATTTCAATTCGAGGCGGCTGCATCGTGGGGGGCGAATGGGCAGATGTCCTCCCATGATAAAACTATAATGATGAATTGGAGATGCAGTAACAGAACGTAAAGATTCGTATTAAAATGTATGATTACTTGCATCAAAGGGAATATACAACATTTGCAAACATCGAAAAAAAAAACTACCAAGTTTTTACGAAATACCTTACTAGGATGTTGGTAAATGACAGTCTCAAGCATCTTGTAAAATTATGGCACCTGGTGTGAAGTCATTTTCAAGAAAATGGTATTTTTGTATACATTTCCAACCGTGGTCGGCCGACCAGCGTTGGAAAAACCTAACTATTTTTCAACTACTGCTCCAAATTTACCATTTGTTATTCCAAATGTTAGTGCTATTGGTTACATGTTTATGAACGAGTGCAGGCCAGCTAGACTGGTTCCCTTGCCTTACAATTTTCCATCATCTATAAATTGATCCATTTATCTTTTGTGGAGTCAGGAAACCAGACTACCTTTTCATCCTTTCCGAACACAAAACTTCAAAAATGTCAGTGTAACAATACTTGATTTATTATACTAACCCCTCAAATAGTTCATTTCTGAAAATTACAGCAAAAGCCAATGATGTACATTCCCAACCACGCCACGGATTTTTTTTATACCCAACTGAGCGTAATCACCCCTGGGCCGCGGCTAGGAAACCAGACTACCTTTTCATCCTTTCCGAACACAAAACTTCAAAAATGTCAGTGTAACAATGCTTGATTTATTATACTAACCCCTCAAATAGTTCATTTCTGAAAATTACAGCAAAAGCCAATGATGTACATTCCCAACCACGCCACGGATTTTTTTTTAAGCCCAACTGAGTGTAATCACCCCTGGGCCGCGGCGCTAGCATGCTACGGATGGCTGCACGTCGATCCCGCCCCCCTCCCCACCCCAACTGGTTCGGTGTTGTTTTGTGTGCATTTCAATGCTTGTAGGATTTTCTTTCCCGTGTAGACTCTATGTAGGATTGTTTGTACTGTGTAGAATGGTGTAGGACTGTAGGATCTCGACGCTCCTCAAAATTCAACTTTTTCATTTGTGCACATTTCAATGGCTGTAGGATTTTCTTCCCCTATGTAGGATTTTTTGTACTGTGTAGAATGGTGTAGGACTGTAGGATCTCGACCTTCCTCAAAAATCAACTTTTTCATTTGTGCGCATTTCAATGGCTGTAGGATTTTCTTCCCCATGTAGAATCTATGTAGGATTTTTTTGTACTGTGTAGAATGGTGTAGGACTGTAGGATCTCGACCTTCCTCAAAAATCAACTTTTTCGTTCGTGCACATTTCAATGGCTGTAGGATTTTCTTCCCCTATGTAGGATTTTTTGTACTGTGTAGAATGGTGTAGGACTGTAGGATCTCGACCTTCCTCAAAAATCAACTTTTTCGTTTGTGCACATTTCAATGGCTGTATGATTTTCTTCCCCTATGTAGGATTTTTTGTACTGTGTAGAATGGTGTAGGACTGTAGGATCTCGACCTTCCTCAAAAATCAACTTTTTCTTTTTTGCACATTTCAATGGCTGTAGGATTTTCTTCCCCTATGTAGGATTTTTTGTACTGTGTAGAATGGTGTAGGACTGTAGGGTCTCGACGCTCCTCCAAAATCAACTTTTTCATTTGTGCGCATTTCAATGGCTGTAGGATTTTCTTCCCCATGTTGAATCTATGCAGGATTGTTTGTACTGTGTAGAATGGTGTAGGACTGTAGGACCTCGACCCTCCTCAAAAATCAACTTTTCCGTTTGTGCGCATTTCAATGGCTGTAGGATTTTCTTCCCCTATGTAGGATTTTTTGTACTGTGTAGAATGGTGTAGGACTGTAGGATCTCGACCTTCCTCAAAAATTAACTTTTTCATTTGTGCACATTTCAATGGCTGTAGGATTTTCCTATATATGTATATAGGCTATAGTTTGTACTGTGTAGATTGGTGTATAGGACTCGACTGTAGGATCTGATTATCCTCAAAAATCAGCCTTTTGTTTTGTGCACATTAATTTTCAAAAAATCCCATTACCACAATGAAATAAACTGAATTTAGCAATACAAAACATCACTAGCAAATAAAAAAAAATAAAAAAGAAGAAGAAGAAAAAAAAATGACACAACAAGCGGGGGGGGGGGGGAGAAAAACATTACTGGCCATTATGTCATGCGATGTGACTTACTTGTAGCTTATTTTTTTGTGTTATCCATAAAAAAATATTTATTGAACATTCTGGACCCTTTAGTTCTTTATGTTAATCGGAGGGTACCAGTGGAGGGTACATCCCCCCAACGGTCGGCAAATTTCCATTTCAGACAATAATTTAGTTCATTCTCGCGGAGTAGGCTGTACTGGTTTCTGCCCCATGATCAGTATCGATAATGTACAGAACGGAAACCAGTCTGCCCGCAAGGCGGATCTGCTTGTGCCCCTAAAATAAAAAAAACACTATATTTTAGAGGGTTGCAAACGCCCAATAACGAAAAAAGAAGAAGATGTTTAAGTAAAACATACAAGTAGAAATGTATTTAGAGAAAATCGAATATGTTGTAGAGCACCGGTAAGGCAACTTTAAAGTATTGTCAAATATATTATGTAAAACTAAATTACTTCAATTTGCGCCTCAAATTTAGTGAAGTTTTATTAGACCTTTCAAAACGTATCTACATTTTTAAATCACTGTAGGGGCTATACGGACGTACGATCTTTGATCTTTTGATCTTTGAGTACGATTGTTATACAGTATCCGACTTCATTTTGTCCCTCAAAGTCAAGTACGGAGCAATGGCTTTCTTTCATACTGTACCGCGAAAAGAAACTTAAGTCACACCAACATGGAAAACTGTGGTTTCGCAAATAATGACCCTACACCCAAGTTCCGTGTCCCGGTTTCAGGGGACGTAACAATGAGACCCGCACTCCATTGGCCCAAATTTCTAAGCAGCAAGGTCATTACCAAAATTGGGTTTGAACAAAAACGAAAGACCAGTCAGCTGACGTCCATCATGATATGAAAGAAAAATATTAATTGTTAACCTTGTTCCGTGATTCTCGCAATATCAACAGCAAACTTAATCGCAATTCAGTTATCCGGTATAGGGCCTATGCGTGACGCGTACGTTGACGCTGTCCCTCGTTTATTTACACAATGAATAATTGTCTATAAGTTGCCGCACAAAGTTCGACCGCCCAAGTGTCGAAGTTTGTTTGGAGTGTTTATCTAAAAGATTGACAAGGGCATGGGCGTCGCCAGGATTTTTTTCCGGGGGGGGGGGGGCAAAGCATATTTTTCTCCAAAATTCCTTAAGTTTTTCATTATATTATAAATTTATCATTTTTCCGAGCGTGAGCAAGGGAGCATTTGCCCTAGTCACCAGTGCCATTCTCGAAAAGTGTCACAGTTTCGAACGTATTAAGGTAGCGCAAAGCTTAAGTTTTGCCATTATCGATAGTGCATGTGAACTTGCGAAGAACATAGCTTCAAACTTTACAGGTGGGTTAAGAATGAATGTCCCTGTATGTGCAAAACATGTCAAAGAATTGTCACTAGGCAGCTGATGAGGGGGTGGCCCAGAAACGCCAACCCCCGCGCTAAGAAAAAATCGGGCCGTTGATGGGAAATTCATGGTCACATCATGGTTTCCATTGTCACATCATTCATGACAAAGTGCACGGTTTTATAACATGATCTTTCAGATAAGTAGTCCAACGTCAGCCATTCGTCGTGTGTGGCATGTGCCCTACCTATGTTTAATCATATGCGAAGAATGAGTAGTGCGTCAAACATTAAAACGCTTTTTTTGTATTTGTCGTGGTTAATTATTCAGGACAAACGTGTTTAAAGCTATATATGTGACAAGCTTTACACACAGACTGAATGTCTAGACAAGTGATCTTAGCTGGGGTTACAAGTTGCAACATCAGCGCATCAACACAAAACGTAAACAGATAACAGGGGTGTGAAATGTCAGCTTTAAAGCTGATTTCAGTTTTTTTTCAGTTTTTTTTGTTTGGATTTCAGCTTTTTCCCCTCACTTGCTGTGTACAAAAGTACACTCTAAAAACTGTGTTTATCAATTAAACACAATCTTGCTATCACTTCGTAAACATGTTTGGAAGCTTAACATTATGTGTTCAATTCCTAAACGTCAAATGGCTAAACACTATCCATCCTAACTCTAAACATGTTTACAAACTGATAGCAAAAAGTGTTTTAGAAAAGTGTTGAATTGCTAAGCACAGTTTTTGCAGTGTATAGGAGATTACCAAAGTTCAGTTTTTTTACACATTTTTTTTAAGCAGTGGTCATTCGCACCCCTGACATAAACTAACGTCAGAAAACTCAGCCAGAATCTATTTAAAAAAAAACATTATTTATTGGTTTCCCTTACAACAGGTCTGACTATAATAGGAAAACTGAAAAGGTTCTTTTCCCTAGTGTAGCCCCCCCCCGGGTTTGTATTTGGGTAAGGTAAAAAAAATGAGCTTTTTATTGTGAAAAAGCGTACCCCTTACAGAAACTATACTGTCCATATTCTGCCCGCCTTGGAAATCGGCCCCAGTTACTCCACAACAGAGTGGTAAAAAATATACACTTTTTCAGACGCATTTTCTCAGATAGGGGAGCTAATGTTTTAAGATATTTCTAAACTAATGGCGCTGAAAATGAAGCCTAAATTAAGAAATGGCGATGGTTTAAAGAAAGATGGTCAAAACCAGGTGTGACAGTGTATTGTATGACATGACCAGGAATATTCTACACCACATGTATTTACAAACATTAAAAA